GTTAATTTCGGATATTGACAAGCAAGATGTGTTGTATTAAAAAATTCTTCATGTAATAAATAAATATTTTTTGTTGGTTTTATATTTGCATCTTCAAAATCACTTGCATCAATAAAAAAAATTTTATCAATTTCATTTTGTTGTTGATGATAATTATTTGAAAAATATTTATTTATTAATATCATTGTTGATATTGTTGAAAATAAAGTTAATAAAAATATAGATGTACGAGTAACTAAATAACGTCGACAACGACGACGTATTTGCATTGTCCTGTATGTAATACAAGAAGTTGTTGTTTTTTTCGACGTCGATATTTCCAATAAAATTTTATAACCATCAGATTTTATTTATTCTTAAGAGCATTCAACAGCGCTCATATATATATAAAATATCTATATGAAAACTAGAAAAAGAAATAATGAGGCATGTTGTTTTTTTTCTATTTCTCACATGTTCTCTGGAATAATAATAGATAATTCTGTAGACTATTACACTTCGAGATTTAAACACAGAAAAGACTTTTTTTGTATATGACAACTCCCTTCAGCTGAGTATGACTTTGATCAATGGATTTTTTCGAGTGCATTCATAGAGAAATCCTATGTTAGATTTGTTGTCTTCAGAAATTCTAAGGTTATTTTTTCTAAAATATAAATATTCTTACTGAAAAATACATAATAATTGTATTTTTATGATTTTTCTTCTTCTTCTTCTTCGCTTTATGTTGCTATTTTGTAGTCAGCAAAGTTCACTGGAAGAAAGAATGAATAGTAACGAAGCGGCGTCCTAATAATTAAGAAGTACTGTTGAAGTGTTATGCGTGTCATCATGGCGTTTGCTGTAGATAGACGACATTGAACTAACACAAACAGATAAGATAGTTGTGTTCGTCATCATCATCATCATCATCATCATATAGCGTGCTCATCGTTCATAGCATCATAGTGCGTTTGATGCATATGAAAATGTGTGTGTGTGTTTCTGTTGGCTGCGTAATGACGGTACCAATTACATGAGCTTTCTGTTTCAGTTTGTTCTATTCTGTTTGTCATTCGATGGATCTCGTCGTCGTAGCCGATAGTCTTCTTTATTCTCTTTCTTTGTCGTTCCTTTCATTTCTTTTTCGAGAAAGTCCCATGTTGATGTAAAACCAGTCCTATCATTGTTCGCTTATAGTATTCTTGACGTTAACCCTTTCCGCATAGTCGTAAATAGTGTGACTGAGACAAGAACAGAAAAAAGAAAGCGAACAAGCTATTTTATAGATTTTTTTGCCGTGCGGGTTTGAGAAAACATATACAATTATATGTGTATTTTTCTTTCGATAGATTGGTTTATTAAAAAAGAAGAAAAATGAACAGAAATTAAATGTATGTAAGCAAGCAATCATGAATGTGTAGGAGATTATTCATTCTGTTCTATTGGTCCTTGGAAAAAGAAAAGCACTCAGTTTACTTTGTTTGCATGTATGTATGCACATGAACGACGCTTCATTTCCGCTTGGCTTATTGACATTGTGTGTGTGCACCAAAAAGAAAAAGAAAAGAAAATACGATGTATTTTTCTACTTTTTTCTATATCGTTAGTTTTCATAAGAAAAAAAATATACTTCCGAGCGTTCGAGCCCGTCATGTCAATAAAGCTGGCATTGTTGATTATTTTGTGCGTTTATTATTAAACATCTAATAATATAGACGTATTGAAGAGCTAATAAGAAACAATTTAATGAAAACACTTTGAGAAAAATGCCAACAGCTAAATTATTATATAAGTATTTGTTTTACTATTAGATTTTTTATGAAATGAATTATTTATCTCGTATTTTTGAATATAGCTAATAAAAATATTTCAAGAATAAAAAGAATTTTACGATCTAATATTTGAGATACAATAGTCAATTTTAAGATAGAACATGCAATGAATTTTGTCAGTGTCTTGTCAATTAATTGTGTAAATATATCCTCATTATAAAAATAGTTTTCTATTATATTCTGAGAGAATCTTGAAATTCTCTCTTATCTTACATGTAACTTCCGATGAATACTAGGTAGATACACTTGTTGAGAAACCGTGTAAAACTCCTGTGTCGATCATCAATTTCCTCTTTATTTCAAGTTTAGTATTTTTATAAAATAGATTTTTAAAACTTTAACTACTTCTAGTGTTAGCGTTTGAAATGCTCCATCATCCTGAACCTTTAACATATAAAGAGAACAAATAAATAATAGAAATATCAAGGTTTTCAAACTTTCTTAATGAGTGCGTCTATGCAATACTCACTTTATTCTTCCAAATATGTACTTCAGATATGTATAATGATGATAAACTTCAAAAGCATAATTGAATGACAAAGTTTTTATTGCAGTTGATTTATTTTTCAGCCAGTAGGCGCAAGTCAAAATATAAATATAGAAGATAATAGAAAATCTCCAGCACTTTCAAAATATATAATTAGTTTTTTTTTAATGCAGTTTTAAAGTGACAATATATTTGAAAAAAAAGCTTTTAGCATAATCCCTACAGGATAATAATGTGAAACGAGATGTAGCTGCTATTATTAATTACAGCGAGATTGTCTTATTCGATCTATTTTGGAACACATCTCTTCATTATTCTTTTACTTAATCCTTGAGAAATGCAATAAGAAATAAGTTCATTTATTATAATGAAAGATTATTCGTATACGGCCTTTGGTCGTATATCAATACCGTCTGTGCCATGAAAGTCGCAAATTTCGACCCGTATTGGTTTCAACATTGCATTTAAGATTGTATGTCACATAATCAACTCAAATTATTTTTTTCCAGGGATATGTATCAACAATTAAAAATTTCCAAAAAAGAACGTCTCATTGATCTTACACTTTATTAATATGGTCCTTCTACAAAAATGTTTCAATACGACTATCGGAAACAATTCATTAATGAAAAAAAATACTCTAATGCATTTCCTCGATAGAACATATTTATTAAGATAGTTTCTTGTTGATTATTTGAATTAAATAGCGGTTATTAATTATTCCCATTAAACATTTCTATTCACTTTGAAAAATTTTTAAAGATGTTTTGATCAAAAATTATTTAAATAGAAATTATTTCGTTTGATTTCATCTCGTAAAAGAATCTAAATTAATTGAATAGGATTAGTTGTTATATCAATTACACGACTAACAGTATGTTGCAGGAGCCCTAGAGTATCTTATAGGGTTTTAACACTTGATTACAAAATGCTTCAAAATGTTCAATTCACTAACTAATAGAGTGCCCGAACAAGATTCTGTGACATACCAGTAACTGAGTACCCAAAGAGTTAACATATTATTAATTCAATATGTTATCACTATAAAAAAAAGTACTTCTACTCTATTTTCAACTAGTTTTCAATTGTAGACGGCTCGAAAAATTTGATAAGATCGTCAATACAGTTTCTATTCAAAGCTGAACAAGTACAAGTAGTAACTCAAATAATTGAAAGATAAATTAATCAAATGAAGTGTAGAAAAAAGTAACTCAATTGCTGAAGATAGTTATGCTTTCACCTATTATTTAGGCTAAAAATAATTGCAAAAAAAATCATCCAATAGACAAAGTATTGAGAAAACTTGCCGTCGCTTATGGATGGCTTCATTCCACTCCGATTCGTCTTTTACATCACTGATTAAATGTAGAATTGCATTGCGCGACACAATACAAACCAATCGATTGGAAATGATTTTTTTCAAAATTATCTTATATAGAATATGTAGTCAATGAACGTCAGGATCGGTAATGATGGACAAAAATAGTTCAATTAAGTTCTATACATCCAGAGTGAGAAGAGGAATATACAGTAGAGACTATCAATCAATGGCAAAAATTACGATAGATTTGGACAAAGAAGCGCTACAATAAAAATAAACTTATTAATTGATTGTTAGTGCCAATATAGTATGTATTAGCAAAAAAAAATATAAGTCATGAGAATATGACATGTGCTGCAAGTTTTACACGACCATAAACGATATTACTTTCAAAGAAATAGTACGAGTACGTACTCGTACTGACCCAGCTCTGTTTGTTTTTTTTTATTAACTCTTTAACTGTTAAATGTTTTTGAAACTAAATAGTAAACTTTTGGCAGAACAACTTTTGATACACAGAAACGCAGGAACATAATCGATCTGAAACATCAGAACTGGTAAAGAGAGCTTCACATGGTACAGAATGTTAGGGTCGACGCAAAGTGTACAAAGAAAACAGAGTCAAGGAGTTATGATCTTCATTTTTTTCCATAAAGATTGCTTGGACGAGTATACTCGTCAATAACGGTTAAAGGGTTAATTCGTAAGTAAATTTCATATGAGTCTTGTTTTTATTTATTTACATTCTTATATAAAAAAACGTAAAACGGTCGTAATTTGACTCCAGAGATCCACGGGTACGATCCATATTACGATTTTTCAAGTCTTACCAAGAGCTCCTTATGAGCTCAATATAACCTCAAACGAAAAGCATCAGTTCAAATAGTTTTCTCGTTATTTCTTTCTTTTTTTATCTTATCAATCATCATTATATCACAATAAACAAACAATATGTAATCAATAAATTTCAAAGTTAATATTTTTTTTCAATATCTGCATGCATATATATACATCTAAATATGTTAATTACACTTCTGTCATGATAACGATATCTATTTTATTAAATAATAGTAAAACAACTCAACAACAATATTCTTCTACACATTATAATATTTCTACAAAAACTAATCCATGTATAACATTACTAATTCTCTTCTCTTCTATACAATTAGATTTGAAAAAAATACTCTAAACGGTAAAAGAATGACATAAATAATAATAATAATCAAAGATAAAATAAAACGAATAAATAAGATTTTTTTTTGATTAAAAGAGAGAATGAAAGATGACAAAGAAAACAAATGAATATAGTATATATATATAATGTCAAATTAAAACAAGGGAAAGAAAGGCACAATGCAAATAAAATAACTTCAACTTAAAGAACACGACATTTAGGTGCACTACCTTCATAAACACAATTTGTACCAGCACGACAATCTATGGGACACCAACGATAATTTTTTGGCATTAGTTTTTGTTCACAGAGTACACCTGTTGTATCGTTTTTACAAAGACATTTATAACCATCTTGTGTTATTATGCATTGACCATCTTTACCACATGGACTTGGTGTACATGTTCGTGGTCGATTCACTAAATGAAAACAAAAGAAAATTTTTTTTTTCTGTCAAACCAAAAACCATCATCAATGATTCTTCACTTACTTAATTCACAATGTTGACCATAATATGGTTTTGGACATGTACATTGTGGACCATCTTCATTAACAACACATTCACCACCATTCATACATGTCACATTAGCACATGGAGCATTGCTCATAGCTCGTTTACGTGCTATTTCAATAATAAGAAAAAGATTTTATTCTCAATGAAAATAAAAGTACAAATTATATTAAACTTAAACTTACCAAATTGACAATAATAACCAGTAAAACTACCTGGACAATAGCAACGAGCTATATTTTGAACAACACCACAACCACCATTATTTTGACATGGATTAGGCAAACATGGATTAACTACTGTAACGACTGGTGTTGGACATGGACAAATAACACAGGCACAAACAGGTCGAGGCATTGGTGTAGTAATCAATGTTTCACAATTACTACCTGTAAAAGGAAATGAACATTGGCAAATATAACCAGTTGTTGTAGCAACACATGAACCACCATTATAACTAGAAAAAAAGAATTTTTTTTTCTTTTGAATCAAAATTTCTTTTTTTTTTACCATGGATTTGGTATACAATAATTACGAATTTCACAGCATGGACCATAGTAACTTGGTGTACATGAACAAACATATGCTTTAAAAAAAGCAAAGAAACAAATTCCTATTATTGAAAACATTACATTAAAATTGTATCTTACTTGTTGGACCTGTTGGTGTACATGTACCCCCGTTGAGACATGGTTGAGATAGACATGGATTTGGTGGTGGAATTAAAATAGCACAAGTTGGTCCAGTATATTGTGGTGGACATTGACATTGAAATGAATTACCAATAACCATGCAGATACCACCATATAAACATGGATTTGGATCACATACACGTAATTCACAGCGAAGACCATTGAAACCAGTTGGACATACACATCGGAAAAGATTAGGTCCTGCTATTTGACATGTTCCACCATTTACACATGGATTAGCCCAACATGGATTTGTAGCAGCTAAGTTTATTTCACAACATACACCACTGAAACCAATTGGACATGTACAGCCAAATGTACCCTGTCGAAGATAACAAGTACCACCATTTTGACTGAGGACAAAAGAAAACAATTTATTTATCTAAGAAAACATTCGATGAAATTTTTTTTTGTTTTACCATGGACTTGGTTGACATTGATTTGGTAGTGGAAGAACGACAACAGCTGAAAAAATAAATAAATTATTAAGATACATTTTTCTTTTTGAGAAAATAAATAACTATAATCTACAACTAGAATATTAATTTCTAACTTTAGCTTTAGTACCTATATTAGTTTGACAATGACTACCAACATAATTGTCTAGACATTGGCATTGATAGCCGTTTAATATCGGTATACATATTCCCGAGTGTAAACAAGGATTACTCATACCACAACCTGTACTAGTTGCAATATCTTCAAAAAAAGGAATGATACAAAAAATATCTCAATTCTATTCCTCTCTCTAAACTACCTGTAGAATCACATAAGAGACCTGTATAGCCTGTTAGACAGACACAACGAAAGCCTCCACCAAGTACAGTTAAACAAAATGCTCCATTTAAACAAGGATTTACTAAACATGGTTGATTAGGATTGTCAGTAATAGGTGTAATTGTAGTAGTAATATCTGAAAAACTTATATTAATTTAAATAATCATGTCTCTCTCAATAATTTGAATATTCTAGTATTACCAAGATAACTACATAAAGATCCAACAAAACCAGGTGGACAAATACATTCAATCGTATTTGGATAGACATCTATACAAGTTCCACCATTATCACATATATTTGAATCACAACCGTCTCTTGTAGAGATAAGAAACTCTTGATTTAAAATATGATATTATAAAAATCATCCTTATTTGATTTCATTGATCTTACGTGCTACTTGACATTGGAGACCAGTATAACCAGTTTGACATTGACAAGTAACTGCTTGAGCAACAATAACACAAACACCTTGATTTTTACAATATGATCCACAACCGAATTGTCTTGCTACGTTGACAGATGAATCTTTGCCTGTAACATCCTTTAGTGATATCACTTCAAGTGCATTTGCATCAGCTTCAATGGTTGGATAGTCATCAACAGATGCATTAACATTTGTACTGATTGTTATCTCTATATTAAATAAATTATATATTTAATCAAAAAAGAAATTAAATAAAACTTACCAACTCGATCTTTTGAATCATCGCAATCGGTAACTAAATCTTTATCAACACATGTTTTTAATTTAGGATCATAAACTGTACCATTAGAACATGTGAATAAAACTCTTAAATTATGAAAACAACGAACAAATCGTTGACAATTTGAACGATCGCCAACATAATCTCGACATTCTTGTCCTTTTAAATAAATTTACAAAAAAGAAAACAATGAAAAAAAAAAGAAATTTCGTTTTTTTTTTAAAACTTACGCTTCGTTTTAAGATCAGCAATTGTTCCTTGTATAGCAAGATAAACAACAAGAACAATAAAAAGTCGATTCATATTTGTTGTCGTCTATGTATTGTTATAATAAAAATTGATCAAACACCGGGGCTATAGAAAGAACGATGTTATGTATAATTTTTTATACCGACTAACAATGAGAAGTTGAAGTTTTTGTGAGGTTGTCGTCACTATTTAAATTCATCTCTCTGTTAGCTCGACATTTTAATATACAGACGAGAAAATGTCACATTTTTTTAAACACCCTTCAAAATTAAAGCATTATACGCACGTATGTACTTGTTTTACAAACAATTGTATTAACAGTACATCGTTGATATACGTCAAAATAATAGTAATTTTATCAATGACAAATGTGTGATTTAACACATTCTTTTTTGTTTTCTTTCAAGGTTACATCATATTTTTGATTACATTATATATTTTGTCCACCTTGAACATTATCACGTACGAGACAGAGCTCTTTCTGCCTTTTTTTTTGTTATAATCTCAATTCAAATGTGCATATCCTTTTTTGTCTATACATTTAGTTCATGGTCGATGAATGTGATTTAATTTTTAAAAGGTTGCATTCGACGGATGTTCAAAATAAAATACTAGTCAAGGGTAATTACAAAAAAGAAGATAATCTATATTCGTTTTTGTTCATAAAGATCTTGATTAGGAAAAAAAGGAATGAGATTATTATTCGATGTTTGAAAAGACTTATTATAATAGTTTGATTTCTCTTTTTACATTTAAAGTGTGTCTATAAATGTCATTTAGATTTATCGAGAATTAGATTAAAAGTACTTCGGTGTATTATTAATTAAACCAAAGTCTTTAGAATATGTCATGAATTGAAATAGAGAAAAAATTTATTATTTCTCTATTTTTATGGAGGAAAAGCAATATTAAAATGGGTCGATTTATCGAGAGTAGAGACAAAAATGACCGTGATTAGTAATGTAAAGATAAAAATGTTAAGACAGGAAAAAGATATATCCTTTTCTAAGTTCTTCGTTTATAATATTATCGGATTCAAAAATACGAGAGGCAGTAAACTAACATCAGATTTCCGGTAATTTCTAGAAATAAAGACCAATTTTATTTTTATCCTGTTCGCTCATTATAATGAAGCGTATACATTATCAAATATGTGGATTTTACTTTACAAAATGATGATACATCAGAGTAAAATCGTACTACTCTATTTATCTCTTTGAAAAATCAAGAACTGTTTACTTATGAAAATACTTCATTTACATTATTGATGGTCACTAAGAAATAGATTTTGGTCTGTATATTATCGAGCAACTATAGTTCTCAATATGTAGATTAGCCATGTAATGATTATTATTATCTTCTTCATTATCACTTTGTAAGAGTAAAGCTGTTAGTGAGATTTCTATGGCATTACAATTTGAAACATTATTGATCTGTGTACATTGTATATCAGGAGACTCTGCAACATATTGATATATCTTTAATGAAAGATATTATTCGTAATAGGTTACTGTGAGTTTGAAAAAGCGGTTAAAGATAGGTATCTTAAAAATTAATCTTCTTTCATAATAACTTCTTCAAAAGATTAAATCTAGATTTTGATAGCATTTTCTGAACTTTTTAAACTGAAACCTAACAGTCTAGAACTTGAAAAGGTTTTGGTCAGAAAATAAGAAACTTAAAAAGATTCAGTATGGCTTTTTTCTTTTTAGATATTATCGCAATCATCTATAAAATCATTGAACATATTATTGTCTGTTTCATCATTCGATTTGAGATCTGACTCAATGTTCAAGCTGTTTTTATTATTTATTTTAATGCAGTTTGATTGCTTCAATAGATATCATTCATCCATTTCGTAGTAATTATGCAATATTGACAGGAACACTTTTTCGCTGAGAACTTTCCAATGATTAGTTGTGCTTGGTAAGGTTGATATATTTATCATGTTATTTATAGTTTTTGATTTTGCAGAAATTATACCGTCATATCGAACCGATAATCTTGCCATGCTACCGTTTTTTAAATCCAAACAGATCCAAGCTGACTTTTGTTATAGGCTAGACAACTTTATACAATGATAAAAAAAACATCGGGAAAAAGCTTGTCGTCGAGGCTATATGAGACTTACACAGTCAAACTTTTTAGGAGCTATTTATGACTTTATAATATGACTTATATAATATGGAACAGATTCACTCAGAAAATTGTGTCTTCAATTGGATACCATTATTGTTGAGTGAGAAGCACGTATTCAAACTTTGACAGTTCAACACTGAATATATCAAGATTTAGTATGTTCATTTAAATTAATTTTGTATGAAGCTTCTAAAACTCAATTGTTAGCATTTGAAATTGTTCTGTACCAAAAGTCAGGTAATGTTGACTTTTAACGACTCTTCGATCGCTTTCAAAACAAAGATACGACATAACTGTCGAGTATTTGAGTCTTTTTCAAAATATATCGAATGATAGAGAAATAAAAACTGAATAAAATGAAGTATTGAGAAATTTTATACAATAACGTTTATTTTACTTTCGTTTTAATCGAATATCATCTTTCTCCTCTATACAAGGATGAAAACAAGCTCAAAAATATATTTAATTTCACAACTAATCAATTTCAGATAATTTTTCAAAGCTTTTATATATCCACCTTAATCACGATGTAAAAGACCAAGATTATTATATATGAGTGAAGTTGTATTATTATGTAATGATGATTCTTCTGTTAGTATCATGGAAATAAAGATTTTTGCTTTTTCATATTAGCCAGTTTTCCAGAGAAAATAGTCTGATGGTATTAATAGTGATTTATGAAAGCCTTCTTCACGTACAAGTTGTAATTAAACATGTCCTATATTATCGTATTGTTCAATCAATGCAATTAAGAAAATAGTGCCTGGTGAATAAAAGAACTTCATTCTTATCTTTAATAAAACTTGCATGAACAATATTTGCAAATGGATTTGTAGATTTCATTAATGTTCGATCTATTTCAATTTCAAAAAATACAGACTCAACAAATAAACATTGTTCATTATTTCCAGTAAACATAAGAGCGATTTGAGAATTAGTTGTTGTAGCAAAAGAAAAGGTATTAATTGAAACCATTTTATCAATATTTTCTTTGAATTTTTGTAGTGCTGCCTTGCTTATACCTTCTTCTCGATAAAAATTTAAGAGAGTACGATCTATTGGTATTAAATCAATATAATTTAAATGTAGTTTTTCTAAATGATTATGAATATCAGTAAGACAAAATCTCAACTTGAAAATATTGTTGTCATATTTTGAAATCGAAATGCTTTATTTAATTGACGATAAAGAAAACAATCTCTAAGATACCATAATAATGCATCATTGGCTTGATAGTTTTGATGAAAATCTTCAATTATTTATTGCTTCTGCTCATTATCGATAAATTCTATTTGACATTCAGTTAATAAATCTTCTTATTGCTTTATTTGATTGAGGCATACAAATGACTGTTTCAAGTAGTTATGGAAACCAAACAAACGTTGCACCTTCTTTATCTAAATTATGAATAGATTTCTGTGATGATATTGGGCAATCTTGTTTTAATTTTGTCAGAACAGACTCACTATTAGCCGATACACCACTAATTTTTGAGTAAGATTTGGTTAATGAAACATCATCTGATGTATTATTGCAAGATATATAAAATATATTCAACTTGTAAATAATCGTGAACATGAGGAATAATGGTAGTGGACCATGTATCAGATGTAATTAGAAATATTTTTCCTGTTTTTATAGAATTTATATATCCAATACACTTATCTACATTATTAAATTGTTTTATAAAGTTAATAATATAACGTAAACGACATTTAGTTTCACTTTGTTCGCTCTTGACATCGAGCTAGATAAGTGAAAAACCTTTATGATTGCTTTTGATGCCATTATTTAATGTTTCATTTAATTTTTTAGGCGTAGATATCTTTTTTTTCTAATAGTATGATTTTTTGATGACTTCAACGTCATGGTAAATTTTTTACACGTATTTTGTTTCTCAAGAACAAGTGTTTACGCATGTATTTTCATTAGGAGTGCAGGGTATGGATCTGCTTTTCACTCCTTCACAGACCAACATCCATATCCTATTGAATCTACTTCGAAACATCTCCGATTCTCTCTGTTCTTCTAGACAAAGGAGCTCAGTTTCACATAGATATCTTACAAGTTCAAGAAATAATTTAGCATACTCATATGATCAATATATCGTTGATGAAATCTTCAAATGTACTTGAAGTATAACTTAAATCTGATATCAACTTATTCGCTGATTAAGGTTCTTGCATTCTATATATGATTTTGCTGAATTCGATTTCATGAAAGATGCTCCCCCGGGACAGGTGCTCCTCAGACACTTACTCTTGCGACAGTTGCTCCCCAGTGACAGTTGCTCCCTAATCGTACTTAGCAGAGCTCTAATTGATTGCAAGAGCAAAAGCGTGTTGGTATAAGTCAATCGAAGAGCTCATTCTATACCAACATCCTCACCTCGCCCATATCCATTATTTTATCCGTATTATGATAATTGTTCTTCAGGTAATACGTTTCGTGAAGAAAGTTGTCTACGAGTACCCTTATAAGAATCATTTTTTGAGACTGTTACAATGTCAACTAAATACAAAATTAATGATTAGTCTTCAATACAGGATTAAGCTACACAAAACCTTATCACACAAGACGAGGACAGATAGAAACACACGTACAATTATGACAATATCATTTTTAGCATATGCTCGAAGCTTGCAACAGTTCTCACTTCACTTAGAATATTATTGTTTTTGATAAAATCACTGAAAATTTCAATAGTACCAACTGATCCATATAAAAACAAACTTAATGTTGTGAATCAAGTAAAACATTCAGCAGTATTTGCCATCCAAATTATATTTTTCTAAGTATTAGAAACTTACTAGATAATCACTAGTTCCCCATTCTCAGTAATCAATCCTTGAGTTGATCTGAATGTTTTAAGATTTATTCATTCAATAATCTAGTTCGCCAGTGATTTAAAATATCAAGCTTCAATTTCTCAGTATCAAAAGAATAGGCATAAAGTCCTCCAACTACAGAATGTTTTATTTGCTTACTTATGTGATAGTGTATCGTAAATGACATTTGAGAACTTAGCAACCTAATATCTGAAAAAGAAGAGATTCATATTGACATTTTTTAACAAAGCAGAATGTTTTAAGTACAAGAAAACAAATAGAGCAAAGGAGATTAGATTCCAATTTTTGAAAGAATGAATAGAAAGGAAAATAGACAGAATAGAAAATCAACCTTCTCTCGACAAGTCAGTTAATGAGAGTCAATCAATGAAGTTATGCAAAAAAACATTTTTAGGTATGACCTTTTGTGAAATCCTGTATATTTTTTGATTCATCGTTTATATGAAAAGTTCATTCATTGTTACCAATCATTTTTATCAAAAACATTCACATCGTTAAATATGTTTGATACGTTGCCGAAAACGCATTAAAGTGGTGAAAGCTTCGATAACTCTTAGCTCTTAAACATCTTTAAACATAGAAAACATGTTAGAAAAATAATAATCTTAAACTGTTTTAACGTGTTTTTCGTTCCTAATCAATCATGTTTAACGATTTACATATCAAAATGTTAAAACAATGTAAAAAAAGTCAAGTGGAAAAATGAGCTATTTAGTAGTTATATCTTTCTTCTCTATTCTCTATTGACACATTTAACAATGAGAAAAAAAATGTTTGGAAGTTTTTTTTTCTTTGATTAATTTTGCACTTATTGAAATATAGTTTAAAATATGAAGACACTAATCAAACGCAATCATTTAACTTGAAATAAAGTTTTAAACGTTTTTTTTTCCAAAACTAAAAACACAACTCATTCTAAAAATATTAACTCAATCCAAAATTTTGTGATTCATTGAAACAAGACTGAGTGCAATAAATAAAGAACATCCACTTTTGTGCTTTCAGTCACATACGTCAAACAAAATATAATATCAGTATTCTTAATATAACTTCATGAATCACCTATCGCTAAGAAGCTAAAAGAGTGACGTCGTTTGTTATCATCTATTTACTCAGGGAAAGGCAGATAACAGAGAACAGGATCGTATAAATATTTACCATTTTTCAATCTCAGTATATTTAATATTATCAACGTCATGACACATTCCGTTACCATGTATGTTCTCTGCATACTTATTTTCTTATCTATATTGTCAACCATTGAATCAAGTCAATGTTTGAAGAAATGTACATTTCCAAGTATACCATTAAACTCTTCACTTCCGTCTGATTTTTGTTCAATATCAAAGTCAAATGATGATATGAAGCAACAATGTAGAGTTAAATTGACAATTGATTTTACTACAGGCCTTGTCGATGGATCATTTAATCCTGAAAATCGATCGATTTTAACCGACGATGAACTTACAATTGAAACTACTTTTTCATTGAACAATACATCAGTTCAAGTAAATATTCGATATGATTGTTCTGTATCTGATTATTGTGATCTCGACTTTGTACGTGAAGCCTTATCATCAGATTGGTCTGCGATACAAGTACAACCTATTCGTGAAAAACTTGTTTCGCGTCTTTATAATCCAAATAATACTCTTCCTATCAAATGTTACAATGATAATAGTTCTTGTCTGCAAAATGAATCGCTTTGTTCAATTGCCTATCTTTATCAACAAAGCAGTAACAGTACAATCTTTATAGGTAGATGTCAAAATATAACCAAATCACCAAAAGTTGAATGGATTCAATTATATCAGCCACGTGGAATAGGAAAAGGTTTGACCGAAGGTATCGTGTATGATTGTAACACTCCAACCTGTGGATATAATACCAGTATTATCGAGACTGTCAAAATGTTATCACATGAATACATCTTGCCTCTTAATTTGTCAGTGATCAATACAACAACAACACCTAGGCCAACGACAACCAGTTCTTCAACTGTCACATCGAAAAGTACATGGACAACAACAACGTCAAATCATGCACCATATCTATTTGTAAATTTCTTCAACACATTAATGATTTCCTTTTTAATAACTAAATATTTTTGAGTATTGTAATAAATTAATCTTTTCGTATGTCATTTGAACTTATAGTGAAAGAAAACGAGAACAATGATGGAGACGAGCATATGAATAATATATCGTTGTTGGTTTTTAAATCAATGTCAGAAGTGCTTTTATATAAAAGGCTTGACAGAAGAAGGATATATCAATAGTATTCTGGTGATACTGTTGAATCTCATTATTATTGCTGAGAGAAAAGTTAAAATACTCATTTAGTTCAGTCATGGTATCGTACGTGCATGTAATTGACAAAAATGGTAGAGCGTGATCTAATTGTAGAAGTATGTTTGAATAATAGTGTCTAATTCTCCAATTGCTCACTGTTGGTTTGATGAGATGATAGAGTGTTTCTTAGATGTTAATATGATACAGTCAAGATCACATGAGAGAAACTCTAAAATCAGTTCTAACTTGTGCAAGAGATTTCTCTAAATAGTAAACTGAAATTATTGGGCGAAACACGTATTGATTACTTCCTATATCTGTGATTAATTCAGAGAACGTCATTAATAGATTTACATCAGATATGACTAATAGTCCTCTGATTAACGTTTTCTGTTCGACATCATGCATATGTGGCAGCATTTACATGAAAATAGAAAGGTGTAAGGCGCCAATACGTCGTACTACTACCAGTGCGATATAGCTAATAGTTCAAAGGATATTAGCTCACATGGTTCAGAAAATCTAGATACCAATGATGATATGAACCTGCTATCATATTTAATGTTCGATTTCACTTTTGAAAAGAATAACATGAACGAAAATGATATGACATTTCTTAGAGATCTACTAAAACAGTATGCGCCTATTTCATTATAACGTTTTCACGTTTCTGATTATACAAATCATACAATTTTGTCGTTCATTCAAAGTTTTATCGAACAGGTTATGACAGAAGCTAGCTTTTATTGGTTTTAAGAGAAATAATAAATCAACTATGTTATATTATATATAAGATTGGCATCATTTTGACAGTTTAAAAATAAAGATCATCATCTATTTCAGTACAATTTTCAAACAAATTTCTTCGATTATCCGTAATTTATTTACCAAATAAAAATTTTTAATTTTCTTCTATTATTAAAAAAAAACAAAAACATGTATTATATTTAGCTTGTCAAAATTCACAAAATGCAATGCAGTAGAAAATAATCATCGATGTTCAAACGAAATAAACTAATCTTCTTTTTTTTCTATATTTGTTTTCTGTTTATCATCGGGTGTTATTGGTAATGTTGATATATCATGTTCATCATCTTCTTCATTGTGTTCAATACTTTCATCATATTCTTCTATCTCATCAGGAATTTCTGTATCATTCATCAATGTTTCATTTGGTAAACAACATAAACAATAACAGACGATCGATACAGCAGAAGCTGGAAGTCCGAGAACAAGCATGGAAATAGCTGGGGCTTCGATAAACATTGCCATAATTGTTCGATAGATTTCCCAAAATGGACGAACTAAACGTTTTGTCCATGCATTACCTGTTTCCCGGATAATTTGTGAATAATTAGAAATAACATAATCAAGAATAGATTCTATTTTAATATTTTGATTAATCATAGATGGTAATGGATAAATACCATATTTACGATGAATACTATCATAGAGAAATAAAAGTGGTCCTTCCAGTGTCCATACAGCTAAAAAACAATAGAATCGATAAAAAAAAGTATTAACTGGAAGTAGTATTTATTTACCAATATTACTAAGTAAATCAAGGTCATTTGACCATGCAAATTGGAATGTATTGTGAAGTGTTGAAGTGTGCTTAATTACATAACTATGGATTTGAGATTTGAGTTCAATTCTAAAAGGTTATGATACATATAAAATGATTAGCATAAAAAAAACACACTATCAACAAGTATTCTTATAGATATACCAATTTGAACTGAATCGCCTCTTATTTAGTAATATACAAAATATTCCTTATGTTTCAATTTATTTATCTATACTTGATAACACAAGCTTTCAGCAAGCGCATGAATTATTGAGATAACATGTACATATATGACTAATCCAAATGTGAAAGCATTTGTCATTGACAATAAATGCTTATTACTAGAGTTCTAAACTGATCGGCTAAGCAGCAATCATCACCACTGGTTTTTTGAAAAAAATTTTAGCCAACGATTAAAGATGTGCAGAGTAATGTAAGGATTAGAATATTTTTCTCCATCATGGTACAGCATACGAAAAAAACTTAGCCTGTATATTATTACCATCGTTACTAACGTTTCAGCCGCTGCGATGGAAAAATAGATGATAGATTTTTGAAAGTTTTCGACCTCCAAGATTAGTTTTCAGTAATATTTTTATCTAGCTTCATATCATTAGTGCTAAGAAAAGTTTTCCAAGAAATATTTTCTTATACACATCAACAATAGAGTAATCAATCTCGTTATAATCAATGATTGCACCCTCGTTTTATCAATAGATTTTCTTGTTTGTCAGATTTTTCTTTTCTAACCTTCTAGCATTTTGATCAGTTAGTTCTGGTTGTTCATTAAATCCATAAATAACAATAATTTTCTTTGTTAAAATTAAATCATATATATTTCCAGCTGAAACTTGTAGAAAAGTAGGAATTTTTTCTTTAAGAATAAATTCTTCTAAACTATTCTTATAATCATCTGGTTTATATAAATAAAATTCTTCTTTTTTAATAGCAAATATTTGTGATTCATCATCGGATTCATATTTTGAAAAAAATGTTTCTTGAATAATTGATACATTTGTTGCATAGAAATAAGCTTGACTTATATATTGATTAATAATCTCATTATATTCTTTTATTAATTGATCATCTTCATTTGTGGTTGTTGTTGTAACAAGTAAAAAGAAAACTTCATGTTCATTACGTATTTCATTAAATTGATCTATTGATGATATCCATCGTAATGATGGTCCATTAACTCGTTTTAAAAAGCTTAAAACAGCTGATTTTGATCGTTCATTTTCATATGGAATTATTTGTGAACCACGAATAAACTTTACTGTTGGATAGCCACGTATATCATAGTAATTAGCAACATCAGAATAAACAGTTGCATCAAGACGTACAATACGAATATTTTTTAAGTCATCAACAGTTGTTGATAAATCATTGACTTCTTTGGCTATTTCTTCATAAACAGGTTCGAAATGTTTACAATGTCCACACCTAAATAAAAATTATAATAGTATGTTTTTATTATATTCATGAATTAGAACTGAATGAAAATTTTTTTCTATGATTAAACAAAAAGAAATGTTTCATAAAAATAAACCTCTATTAAGAAAAACGAACCATGGAGCATGAAATTTTATTAAATAACCAATTGATGGATTTTTTTGAATTTCATCGAGAATTGAAGAATTAGCATCAATTACCCATTTTGCATTAATACCAACTAAATATTGTATAATTAATATTGCATAGCAAATAAAAAACATTTTTTTATATGAAATCTATAAACAAAACAATTTATCAATTCAACTATATGAATTATTTTTTTAGGATCTCCAGTTACAACTATATAATATATATTCTTCAAATCGATATTGAATTTTTCTTATTTAATTATGTTTGTCTTTCTGTTGTAAATATTGTCACTTTAGCAGTGAAATGATCTACCTAGTAAGTCACTTGCATAAAAACAGATCTTTTAGTGTTTCGTATTTTTTTAATTAGATGAAAATCAGCTCAAAGAAAGTTAGAACTGTTTGATTAGTTGGAGTGATTTTTATTTATTACTACATATAATAGAAAAGTAGAAAGATGAAGACAATGATGAGATTATACATCAACTCATTTCTTGAAGTCATAACTTCCTTCATATATGATATAATTGGGAATCCCAAGCATACCTTTTTCTTATCTATTGAAACTGTTCTAAAATATTCAATTTCGTAACAAATCTCAGCAGTGTTTATTATTATTATATTTTTTGTTACAATACTTTTTCTGTTTGTTGAATAATTTCAAAAAAAAACAAACAAATGAAAATTAATACTTTGTTTGATATTAATTCTGCTTAGTCATATGCATAATACATCTAGAAAACAAACAATTTTTTTTTCCAGTGCAAGAAAATAGCTGTTTTTTACAGTTTAACAAACAAGTATAGTAGAATAATTCACCACAAAAACAAACAAAATACAAAGATATACACACAAGAAATACGCATCACAGATATTCGTCTGATAGGTTCAATTATTTGATTATGATGCTTAAAATTTTTTATTTCTCGTTGGTAAAATAGAATCTTGTACTGAACGCATAAATGCCAAAAGTCCAAATTTTTTGGCTCGTTTTTTAAAATAATTTGTAACAAGATCACCACCATTATTAAGCATTGTATCATCACTATAACGATCTCGTTGTGGTTCAGAATATTGTGGTAATACATAATCATTAGCTGATAATGATAATACAAAACAAAATGGTATCATCCAAACAAAGATTGTAAAATAAGCAAGAATTTCAGGAAATGGATAATAGTTATCAGTAAAAAATGAAAATGCAAAATAATGATGTATAATTAATAGTAGCATAGAAAAAAGAAATGTTGGTGATAGAAAACCAATAACTGGAAAATCTGCTAAGATAAAAAAATAGATTACATTTGATAGAAGTCCCATAGAACAAAGTGTCCATGTAAATGGTGATTCAAGTAAAATAAGAAGAATATTAAGACATGTAACAGTAATAAGCAAAGAACGAATAATACGTTTAGCCACTGTTGTATATTCTTCAATAAGTTCAGCAACATAATACATACCAGCTGCAACTGATATAGTTAAACAAATAGCGATAATAATAAATGCTACCCATGACATAGCATACATAAACCACATGATTTAGAGTTTTTTTTGTTTTGTTGTATCAGTAGAATAATAGTTGAAAATCTAGAAAATAATTGACGTGGCGATATAAACTGAACAGCTTTTTCTGATGATTCGATTTACAATGAAACGACGTTTATCTGATCAACTAACCAATCACATTGAAAAATGAATAGATGACACTAGCATCATAAACAACAAGGAGATCAAATTACTATCGTTATGCTTCAGTAGTTTATATATTTTCGGTTATGACCATTCACAAGGACAAACATATAAATGGAGAAAGAATGTAAGTGAATATTACATAATTATCGATGCTCATATCGGTGAGAGTCCTGCAACTGCAGAAATGATGTTACTTACTCTTGAACACTTACATTAACAATGCTGATGAGGATTTTTAAAATTTTATACTGTTGTATGACAATATTTAAGATTTATAATCGAGACATTCTCTTCGTCAAATGATTAGTTGGATTAAAAAAAAATGTAGAGATTTATCATACAAAATCTTTGATATGCTTGCAACATTTATCTTTCATTGTTTATGCCTAACAAACTTTCATATTTCACTGTTGATGAGTTGCTACAATTTTGAATACACTAAAGACAGACCAGTAGAAATCTACCTAGGTAATTTATTTGACTCAGAAAAATTTTAAAACGCAATGAAAAAAGAAAATAATTCAGACAGCAAATATCAAGCGCCTTATTGATGAATATAACTTTAGTTCACATCAGATAAAATTACGCTACAAAATACTCCATTGTATAAATTCGTTCATTTATATAATCAAATCTATACATAAAAAGATGTCAAATATTTGTATTCGCAAGATGTTTTTTTTTGAATATCAACAAATGAAAAAGTTTGTTAAATATAATTTCATAGAAAAAAAATATCTCATGAAGATTTTTATTAAAGAACATTAATTAATTGATAATAACAAAAAAATTTACATTGTCGTATGAACCAAATCATGTAAACTTATTGGCATCCATTTATTATTTTCAGATTGAAATATAATATTTTGATCAATATAAATCTTAGCATTTTCAAATTAATAAATTTGTTTTCCCTGAAAATGTTCGATTTGGTATTGATAAAAACGATTGATTATGTTTAGTAGCTTCTTTTTCAACACGACCTTTAATTGATGAAATAATAGTTGATGATGATATTTTAATACTACAATTATAAATAGTCTATAATAAATGGTAAACATAATAAACTAAAATTTATAAAACAAAAATCTTTATCATTAACATTTACATATGACTGAGATGGAGATGCTTGTGGTAATCTTCGTTCAATCATAACTAAACTTTTTCTTAATTTTTCTTTTATTACGGTATGATTAACAACTGTTTCTGGAAGTAATAGACGCCAACCAATATACCATTGTTGAATTTCTGGTTAATATGGATTTGTATTTAGCCAAATATTAAGTACCTAAAAAAAAAAGAATTTTCAAAATAAATTTTTTTCTAACAAACGAAAATTCTAAAGTGATTCACTTCGTTTGCTTCCATATATAAGTGATCATCAACGTAGCATAACTTCCAAACTTTTCTGTTCATGTTTAGATTTAGCCGGGATAGACAATTTGCTATAGGCTGCTTCTGCATGAGTTTAGTTCTCGAAAAACTTATATACAAATGTCGGACGATGTTCGATTTATCAGTTATGATCGTTTAAAAAAATTCTCTGAGAGTAAGGCATTTCCTAAAAACCTAAAGCAAAGCCGTGTATTTCTCGAAATATTCCATATCCAAAAAAGCAGTGATTTACGACGGAAGAACACAATAACTGGATCAACTTCGAAACCAAATGTCTTGCGCAAGATATATTTATTTTTTTGTGACACAATCAGGACCCTGCTCTAATGACTAGCAAACTTGGCAATAGGATTGAAGCTCTTTGTCTTAGGTTTTTCGAAAATACTATGCTCTCATGCAAATAGCGGTAACTTTTTACCGAAAGGCCAGAGAGTCGAATCTTTTCAAACTTGCTTTAGTCTCGTCGAGACCTACTCGTAGCCATAATATAAAATCGAATGGCTTGCAACAGTTAGGTACGTTCTCTTATTATAGAAATGCAATATCAGGATAAATGAAACTTAATAAATGATATAGTCTAATTGAGATCTTCATATGAATAAAGTTTCAGTTCAAAAATTCAAAATTTAGTTTTATTCAAGAACTCTATTTCTGCACGAGAAATGTAATAAAAAGTTTTTATCTCAAACAAATCTAACCATTACTAGGAAGTCTTTAAATTTTGTACTACTCGAATGATCTTTTGCATATTAGAAAAACATATGGGTAAAAAATAAAAACAAAACTAAATAAACATACTTGAAACTATTTTGGGAAAAAAGCTTGTTAGTGCAGCTCCAGAGGAGCTGAAATGTGGAACTCACGTATATCTTTGAAACTTGTTATTCCGATGCCTGATTTTTAAACTGCGAAATAGCTTTTTTTCGAGTATTTATTAAAGCATTGATATATTATATATAATCGAAAGGGTGGGTGTGGGTGTGGATGTGGATGCGAATGAAGAGATTGCAACAGTCACACACCCGCACACCCGCACCACACACCCCACCCACACCCACACCCTTCGTCGAAACATTATCCTATTTCCTATAATTCATTTAATATATGATAAATATCGTAACATATCAAGGATGGTCGCATTATATCTATTCTTTCTCAATGAAAAAAAAAATTGAGTCAGAAAGAAAAATAATATTAGTCATTCATCATCGCCTAACATGATTATATCTATATTATTCGAACTGACGGCAATGAGAAAGTTCAAGACATATACATCTATCTATATATATATATATGGAGGAAGAGATTGATCATAATAAAAAATATCTAATAGATTTGAATATGAACACTTTAAATAACAACGATATTAATATACTCGATTTACCTGATGAGATATTACTTTGCATATTTAACAAACTACATACGATCGAAATGCTCTATTCACTAGTGAATGTGAATCAACGATTTGATCGTTTACTACTCGATCCATTCAATATTTATCATTTAGATTTAACGATCAAACCATTGCTTTATCATAATTCTCTAGTAAATAATCAAATTTTCGATCGAATTCGTACACAAATCTTACCTCGGATTCATCATAAAATAAATAAATTCACTGTTGAACCACTTTCCATGGAATGCATTCTTGGTACTATTGATTATTCTGAACTTAATTCGTTATCACTAGTCAATTTTCAATCAGAAACACTTTTACCACATTTAACAGGTATAGTTGTGAATTTTTATTTGTTTTCATGAACTACTGGCATTTTTGCTTTGTACATTTAAGGTGATACTATACTCCTTCGTCTTACTGATCAAATCGCACATCTTACAGTCGATATTACTGATAACATAAGTGAAATACCTGATGGAAATGAACTAAACATGTTTGCATTGATTCTATCTATTAGTAAATGTTTAATTGATTTGACATTTACTCGACGCACAGAAATTTCATTTTCTAATCTACCAGCAACAAGTTGTGTGTCTTCAACTCTAACTAAATTGAAAATTACTGTAAATACTTTTGATGATTGTCTTTATCTTCTTGATGCATGTCTTCAACAATTGTCTATATTGATCATTCATATAATTGAAATTAGCGATTCATCATCGAATATAGATAATACAGTAAGTATAAATATGATCATTAGGTATAAATAATCTATCTTTGAAATTTAATGATTGCTTCGTTTTCCTTAGAAAAATCTTCCGAAGTTGAAATGTTTAACACTAACATCGTATTGGTATACATATTTTTATAACAATCGTATTGTTTCATTACTTCATCGAATGTTAAATCTTGAAGAATTAACATTATTTCTTTCGATAATAAGAAATGAATCGACTTATATTGATGGCACTCAATTATACAATGATTTTCTCATTAATATTCCACGACTAAACAAATTTATTTTTAGTATACTCACTCATATTATCAACAACCACATTAAAATTGATCTTCCATCGAAGAACGATATTCTCAATAGTTTCATCGAAAGAGGGTATCAACAAGTGGATTCGTACACTGATGAGAAACTCACGTATAATAGAGGCTACTGTCATGTCTATTCACTTCCATATCATTTCAACGATTTTATATTTATGACCAGTGGTTTTCAAGGTGGTTTGTTCAATAAAGTTCGATGGTTGGTAATGTTAGATATACGTCCATTTGAAAATGAATTATTTCAAGTCATCTCACAATGTTTTCCTTTTCTTCAAAGATTATCCATTACTAATTTGCAATCACAAAAAAATAACCAACATTCGTCTACATTTATTACATTTCCTCATCTGTTCGAACTCGATCTTAAGAGGGCACATATTGACTACGTCGTACAATTTTTCTTTGATAAAAACACTAGTTTACCTCGTTTGACACATCTCACCATTCGATATGAAACATTAGCAATTGTAACACAAGGTTTTACCAATGATGCAGCATGTCTCACTTGTGCTAAAATAAGACGTCTTATTGTAAAAGAACCATTTGTTCGTCCAGAAAAATTTCTTTCGTATTTTTCTTCATTGTAAATATTAGTGTTGTAAACATTGTTATCAATAAATAGATATACTATAAGAAAGTTGAATATATTGGTCACGATAATTAATTGATTCTTGCAGAAATTATTGATTGTGTTTTATTTTTATTGGCATCACAACTCTCGATAAAGTAAAAATATGAAAACAAAAAAAAAACATGAGAATTAAATAATTAACTACATTCTAAATTTGAAAAGTATATTCGACAACATACAATCATTTTGTTTCGAAAAAGATTTTATAGCAAATATTAAAAAAATTTTTAACAAACATATTGCTTTAATAGTAACGAGGAGGCTATGTTCTGACTTGCGAACAAAACTTCAGCAAATTAGCAGAAATGTTCACTATTGGCAAACGTAATAAAAATGAGGATAGTTTCATTTTTTACAAGCATTATTAAATAGGTATACATTATTATCATCAAATTTAGCAAATATTGGTTCATCATTTTGCCGGTCATCATTAACACAGATCCACAACACATTTAAAATGTAATGGTACAATATCAAGTAAAACTCAATATGATTTTAAAAAATAACGAGAGTGTGGGTGTGAGTGCGTATGTGTGTTAGCGTGTGGGTATTGGTGTTCATTCTCTTTTGACTCATATTCACACTCACACCCATCCACACTCTTTTTCTGACGAAAAATGACTGTTTTTGAGAGGTCCTTAATATACATTATTTTATGATAAATTAAATATAAAAAAATTTATCAGTTTTAACATTTTTTTCATTTATCAATTTATCCATGTTATTCATTGTTCTTTGTTATATATAATGATCATATACATGTATTTATTCTTCTCAGAGAACAATAAAACTGAGTATTTCAAAGATTATATCATATAAGATCGAAACTATTGATGTTTTCATCATAAAGGGTGTGGGGTGTGTGGGTGTGGGTGTCCCTGTGGGTACCTTGATTCATTACACGATGCGCACACCCGCCAAACGTTTATATCTCAATAAATCCAGTTGTTCTTTCTACCTAGCATTGTACACATTAGGAGCTATATGTATCACTAGAAAAATATCCCAAAAATCATTTAGATATAGAATAATATCATTTTTTTCTATATCAAATCTTACACATTCCGTTTGTAAATATTGTCCTTCGTATATATCTAATTTCACTAATATTCAAATAATACGAAATCATCACGTTAATAGAAGAAATTTTCTGATATATACATATAGAGTATTGATAAATCTTTCAGTATTCACTCTTATAGTGATTCAGCGAAGTCGAATTTATATTATTAACGTTTTTGATACTCACAAGCGTTGCTTCTAATACTAAATCTGTCACATTTAGTCAAGATGATGAAAAATCGTGACTGAAAATATTTTCCTTTTCGTTTATGCTGTTATCTGTACCATTTATCCAATACAGAAAAAAATGATATTATTCTATATCTAAACGATTTTTGGGATATTTTTCTAGTGATACATATAGCTCCTAATGTGTACAATGCTAGGTAGAAAGAACAACTAGATTTATTGAGATATAAACGTTTGACGAGACATGTGGTGACGAGAATATTATATCGTCGTATTTCGTGTTTACTATAAGCTATAATACTAAAACTTTTGCGAAACATTCCTGAATCTATGAGTATGTTGAAAACAAATTTTCAAGTGGATCGGTCAATGTAAAGGTGATATTTTAGTATGACGAAGTGAAAATCATCATAATTGTGATTCGGTCGATATCCATTAACAGGCTGATATCTCAGCAACCCAAAAGATTTTCCTGATGAAAATTTTATTAGAGAAAGCTGAAGATTCAAGCTTTTGAATGGTAGATTTCCCAACTTTCAAAGTGGTTGTGTGACTGAGATATAACCAATGCAAGATAAAGATAGTGTTTGGTGTATAACTCTGTTTTATTACATTGAATTGGTGTTGGATTGGTGTCTATGATCAGCGTTTGTCAGTACTCACATGCAGCCAAAATCTCAAGCCAAAAGCTTGAAATATTGATAAAGTTCAGGGGATGAGGGACTTTTGGCAAGGACTATAAATATATTGTTGTTTAGGCACTTTTTAAAGAAACAAAGAAAAAATAACATAAAGCCTTGTTTTTTCCATAATATGCAATTTTATATTACTACTCGTTGTTGTAAACTCGGACGAGAATTTTTTTTCGATGTTCGTATTGATCTATCAAGTACAGGTTCTATAAAAATAAATAAATAAATTAAAGTCAGAGAAAAAGACCAGATTAGTTACCTTGACTAGGCATAACACGATTTGGATCTTCATTGCCATATCGACCAACTGCATCTTTACCTTGAGGTTTAACAACTTGAATAAGTACAGTTCAACCCTGAAGATTTTTTTCCCAAACACAACCTTTTCCGTAGCCCATCTAAATATATCGATATTGATTTATTTGTAAAAAATAAACAAGTTCTGTTATTTCTATAAGATAGAATCTTGAACAAAAAACACGACCGCTTCTTCTCTAATAGAATCTCGAGTAAAATAATCATATATAAAAACATACTTTCATTAATAGTTTTAAACTAATACCTTTAGTGTACTTTTCAAATGCACCGAAATCATCATCACTTATATGAACATTTCTTTTTCTTATTTTTTCAATAAATTGCATATCATCATTATATTCGACGTCACTGGAATTCATGTTCATAAAACCTGCTTTCATTATTGTTGCTGTTCTGGATGCTATACTTGTTCACAATGCACATACTCGATCAATGATCAGTTAAAGAAAATAAAAAATAATTGATTAGTGGTCATAATCACTCTATCATACAGACGTTTTATATACATGTGCGTATATATGTATGTCATTTTCTTCTCGAGTGCTTTTCATATAGTATTTCAAGTTTCTTCAGATTTTATAATGTTATAAATATAGTTCGAATAAAGATTCTTTCTAATGCTTTATGAATGTGACGAATGAAAGATTTTGAGCACAAAAAAACTTTAACTTCTTTAGATCGGTGAAAACTTCGTTCATAACTAAGCAAATTGTTGATTCATAACATCGATTGGTGATTGAATTTTTTTGTTGATGATATAAAGTACAACCTACTTAAATATAATCGAAAACATACAAAAGCATTAAGAAATCTTTAAAGTTGTTATTTTAATTCTAATAATATATGAATATATGAACAACAAAAATAATTCATTCAATCTAAATCATAAAACCTGAAATTCTTAGTTGGTTTTCCTGTCATTCCATATATCTTAAAATTAACTAATTAGCTAAAAGCTTCCATTTGAGTGTAATTATTGTACTATCATGCAACGACATATAACATGGAATACAAAAGTAATTGCACAAATGTCGGCCTATATTTCTTTTTAAAGAAAGAATGTTAACAGAAAAAATTGTGTATTAAAATTTTACCAATATTTTTCTAATTTTTACTGATTTGTCATATAGATCATGTAATCAACTGAAATATGATTTTAACTTTTTTCCAACAAAATTGAACAATTTTCTTCGTTTGTTTCTTTTACTAGTCATCGTAACAAGGATCGATTCTTTCAATATCTTAGTGACTTCAGAACACTCCAGTGCTACAGCACTATTGCGAATTCATGTAAACTATTTTTCATCATCTAAAATAACATTAAACTCACGAGAGATGGTTTTATAAGTCTGTTCATGCTTTTTTTCTAGCCTTGTTTTTGTCTTAAGCTTTATTATGTATGAACGTATGATGAACAGATGTTATATACGATCTGATAGAAAAAAAACCCTCTACCTACTGATACAATAAAAGTTTTCTTTTAGCATCGTTCTATCGAAGACGAATATTGGCCAATATTTGTGCTATTACTTTTGCATTATAAATTACTTAAAGGTTTTGTGTTTCGGTGTAATTTTTCATACGAGCTCTGAACAATTTCATATTGTATTGAAGGATCTGAAAATAACAAAAGGATTTATTTATGTTTCTTGTTTTTCTCAGCTGATTTATACATCAATTAATAATTTTAAATGAATTGAAAACAATGTTAGCACATTTACATTATAAATTTATTTGTGTATTGCATCATTATGTTTCATTTTCTTTCGCATGTGTTATTGAACAGTACTCGAATGCCATGCTCAATTTGATGTATTCCTACATTTATAATCCTTTGATAATGTTTATGGTTTCGAAAAAGATGAACTTAGTCGATAGCCTTGACTAATCAGAAGCGTAAATAGAAATAACAAATGTTTCGAGTGTTGTTGTTTTTCAGTACGCATATATTATCTGATCATGGCCCAATCATACATAAAAATAAGGGATTGAAACAAAAAATAAAAATAAGTAATGCGAATAATGATGCACTTATCTCACAGACAGATCAAGGATTTTAGTTGATTAAATGAGTTGAAACATTCACTATGTAATGTACATAATATTAGTGAATGATATGCTAATGAATAGATTGTTTTTCATATAAGTTAGATCGTTTTATGCAGTAAAGTAAGTCATTATTTAAAGTAATCATACTGCATGTAAGCGAGTTCCTTATCTCTGAGAGTAGAAAAAAATGTATACGACTTTGAATTATGTTGAAGGGCAAAAAAAAAGAAGAATATATGTCATCGACGATAATAGTCATCAAAACATACTAATAAGTATATAATAAGTCAATCTGTTCTCATTTGTTTGAATAAAATAGAGGATTATACAACATACATAGTAAGTATATTATAAGCTTACTAGATAAACATATTTTCCTTAGTATTATAAAACTCTTGAACTAGTTCATTTTTGCGTTAAAAATATTTTTAATTTCCGTACGATATCAAAAAGGTCATTCAAAATGAACTCATTTTCCCGTTTATCTATTAATTAGCGATTATGGTGATATATCGCAATGTGTATCACCACTTATCATTGATTTTCATTCATTAAAGAAAAAAATAACTTCTATTACAATTATTGACGCACTTGATGTACAACCTAATTTTGAAACAAGCACTTATTTATATGACAGATTATATTTTCAATACATATTCAACATTTATTTTAGAAGATAATCATATTGATTTTGAACCAGTATGAAAAGGGAAAAACCTGTTCTAGATTATCTTATTTAATAGATATTAAAACAATCCATATATCTGAACGAAATACGCAAATAATTCATATATCAAAATATGTCAATGAAGTTGTTAATATATGGTTAATTAAAGGTTTTACTAAAGAAGTATTTCCATTATCTAAAATGACATGGAAAATACTTAAAAGATATGTACTTGAAGAAATATTATTCTATGATGAAAACAAAGGACCTTGTAATTTAGTATGTTATGCACGCAAATGAATAAATACTTGAATGAATATGTTTTGTTCATTTTTTGTAGCTTTTCTAAAAAGAAAAACAATTTCGTGATTCATTGATTTCTATTGTTAACAGTTCATTATGCATAATTATCAAATTCAACCTAAAACTCGTCTGTTAAATGATGATATTATTGATGGTGCTGATGAAATTGGTATTATTCTTCTTTGTAGTCCATATCTACGTGCTTGGTGAACTAATAGTATACTTGAGACTGATGAAGCGAGATGATTAGTACAAGGATAGAATGCAACAACATTACAAGTAGTTATTACTGCTGTTGTATTAGTTAATTATTGTATAAATCATCCGAATGACATTTTCTTATCTACCAGATGATGTTGATTTTGATGAAATACTTGATATTTCAAAAGCAACCGATTGGTCATCGGTAGATAATAAAATTAACAGTGTGAAGGCAGCACTGCTTCGAAGATCATGCCCATCTTCTCCGGAGGTTGAAGGATACTCCTTCCTTTTTGAGATTTTTGAAGAACAGCTCATCAGAAAACTTTGAAATCTCTAGGGCAGGTAAATCTTGGCGAATCGAGCAAAACTTGTCATGGACTCAAAGTTCCTGAATGCTGTATTCTATCAGATACTGAGATATCAATGGCGCTAACTTTCGTCCAAGAACTTATGTTTGATCAAGCTGAAAATTTTTTACTGGCATTAGATACTGTTTGGGGTGAGTATCTATTTGTTTTTTGTTCTTCAAATAAAAAAAGATCAAATTACGACAGCATTCTAAAAAACTCATGTTTTTTTGAAAAAAATAACCTTGCATATATAGAATAAACATAAATTACAAATTTATCCAGTTAGATATTAAATTTACCGACTCACAGTAAGTATTAGATGTTTACAATGAATCTCATGCTCGTAGTCTTGACATACCCATAGCAGACTATAAATATCTTCAAGTTGTCTGTTTGTCTGTCAACCGTTTTTATCGATCTGACATATTTGTTGTAGCCTATTTAGTTTTTACTTTGACATATTAGTTTCAGCGGTAGCAGCAGCTTCTTTTTTAGGAAGATTATACAATTTCATAATTTGGCATCTCATTTTAGTCTTAATAAGTTCTACAGTCGGAGTCTTGGAACCTATTGTATCAGCGGCAGATTTACAGCCGTAGTGCATATCTATACGACAATAAAAATATGAATAAAAAAAGAACAACAAAACAAAAATGAGTGAACAATTCCTGTAAACTAATAATAAGAAGAATTCATAAGAAAATACGAACAGATATTTAGCGAAAAGAATAATTGTGTTTAGTCAAAATGATAAAGGAAATAATCGTATCTAATTTGTCAGTTGAAAAGGTACTCGACTATATAGTTGGATAATTGCATTTCCTGTTGAAAACGACGAAGGTTTTTATATTATTGAAAGTTTAGAAAGAAAAAAAAATCTAACAAACAGACAACTTGTGTTGATGTTAAGCGATCTGTTTGGACTATATTGTGATGCACTCTTAAAATTCCAGGCTTATCCATTTCTCCGAATTAAGCAGCCATGACGGCTAGTTTCAACCTTTGCTAAATTTTATCTTTCAGAACAATGATACGATAAGACGAAAGCGAACGTCATATATTTACACTATGGATTCAATTTCATAAACGGTTCCTAAATTGAAAGCATAATTTCTGCTTGATATATCTAACAATAGAAGATCGTAGACTTTTAGTGAAGAATATTACACATAGTGTGGTCAAATTAAAGCTCTCACTACCAAACTAACAAATTTAAAATAAGAGCTGCACGTGCCGTATACGAAGCGCAGGGTATTTGATTTTTTAACGTATCTATAGTCTAGGTAAGATGTTCACAATTCAAAATTTTAACAATATCTATTTTTCTTTTGTCGTAATGATTGGATAGAGTTCGTTGAGTTGCATCAGACAAGTGTGTTACCTCTTATAGTTTGATTGCACTATGTTGGAAATTTCTTTCTTTTTCCTATCTGATCTACTATCATACATATGAGGCGTACGATATACATATATTTCGTGTTGCTTGTTTCGTTTCTCTCATTAAGGTATACTCCAAACATTCTCTTCTCGTCATTGTTGCTCAGGTATGTTTCCCTCTTGTTCATGTTTTTTTTCAAGTGTCTTTTGGTTTTCCCAGCTTACTCACATATACGTAGTGAGTGTTTGGAAAATAAGAAAGCAGTTGAGTAATGATCTGTTAGATGAATCATCTGTTAACAGTTTCAAATTAAAAAACAATTTTAAAAGATTTAACGAAGAAAAAGCTCAAAATATCATAATTTTAAAATATAAGGGAATATAGAGTGGCAATGCTAAGTTTCATAAGGTCTTTAAAAATTTTTTAAGTTTGAAAAATACAAAATATTGTTCAAGTTTGAAGCTGTGAGCATGTTGCATACACTATAGATATGTAAAAAAAATCAAATATCTCGCTTACTGCACGGCAATGGCAGCTCAAATTTAAAATTTTCTAGTTAGGCAGTGAGAGGCTTTAATTTAAACACACTATGTCCAATGTTCTTCACTTACAGTACACGATCTTCTATTGTAAGACATAAAAGATTGGATATGCAATAAAAACTGTAAGTTACAACAACGTTCAATTTACTCTAAAAATCTGCTTTCATCTAGAGCTACCTTGAGACAACTAACATCACGACGATGTAAGGATTTTGTTTCCGAGGACAATCTGCCAAAAATTTTCTTGATCGCAGGTGTGAAACATCCTCTCTTCGAAAGACCATTTCTGTATCTATCTTTATGAATTCCTGGAAAAGATTATATGAACGAAATATTTCTTTCTCATTTCTAAATTTTACATTACCATGCAAAATCGACAGATGTCGTTCAACTCCAATAATTACCATATCTATAATGAGGATTCGTTCACTCATCTCAAAACAATCTACTAAGTGTTGTTTTTATTTTTTTTTTTATCATTGACATATATTATGTTTTAGAAAATATCATGTATATCAAGATTGTTTTATTACTCATAAGTGTATTCGTGTAATTTTGTTTGCATTTCTGACGTATGTTCACATTATTAATGCGACCCTTTTTTCCCTCATCGTCCTCTGCTTTTTTTTTCTTACGTTTCTCTTTTTTTTTTTATATCAATAATTGAAGAAGAGTAACATGTGTTTGACGACACCAGGAGAATAAAATAAAAAAAGGGCATTTTTTTGCAAATGACAAAATATCCTTGTATATCTATATTATTATTTCATCAGTCAAAATAACTGATATTTAGACTGTATCAGTTAATTGAGTTTGTTTTTACATTGAGTCATAATTGTTTACAAATGACTATTGTCACCGAGATTCGTTCTCATTTCGGTTTTTTTTTGTTCGTTTGTTGAATTATACTTCTTCTATTCTTCGTTATTTTTGTCATAGGCATTTACATAACAACAACAAGGTAAGCTGTTACCAATGAGAGAAAAACAAAGAAGTATCATTTGTTTAAGATATAGAAAAAAAAAGACTTTTTTTTTGCTATTTTAAAAAACTAAAAGCGGAAAGAAATTGTTCAGAAATTAGGTTCTGAAACAAAATGAAAAACTATTTTTGAAAAATGAATATGAAATAAGACTAAGTTTTTTTGGTTTTGAATAATTTGTAGATGTTACGATTTATGGTTAAACTTGATTATATTTTAGATTTACATTAGATTTAATAAAAATTAAGTTCGGTAAAATACATCTAAACAATTACTCATTTTTCTTTATGAATTTTGAATTTGTAATCAGCAACGAAACGAATTATTACCTTCTTTTTTATTTCTTAACTTGCGAACAACAAACTTTCTACGATTGAAGGAGATTAATCTATGGTTGATTTATTGATCTAGTGTTTCTTTCTGATAACGATTAAAGAGAAAAACAAAATTCGATGTAGCATTAATCAGAATACTATGAAAAGCAAATAGATTCTAGTTTGATATCATATAAATTTATAGTTTTTCATGTATGTAATTTTCAAAAATGAATAGGTGTATAGTTTTTCTTCAATTTTAACTTCTAAATTGTCAATGTTATATTTGATTATGCTAAAAGAAAAAGAAAACTCCCGGACTTGTACATCCCGCCTCATTGATTCACTTTCATTATGTTAATTGTAAGTTTTTTTTCTTTTCTTCACTATGACTACACAAAATGTTTATCTCTTTTATTTTCTAACAAAACATTTATCCTTGGCAGCATATTCCAGTAGGTCTATGTATTTATTCTAGTCCTATAATTTCTTAGTACTACATGTCCTAAAAAATACTATTTGATCGTTAGGTGAATGAATGAGTGTGACCGTAAGGTATGTTATAGTATCACTCTATTTTTTTTTACCTTTTGTTACGCATACCCGAAAGAGGAAAAAAAAAGGTGACTTCAAATTTACTTGAATCATAATGATCAAACTTGACAATCGGTTAAAAAAATAGAATTTATTTTTTAGATTATTGTTATTTTTTCTATCCTGTTACACTTAATTGAAACTCTGTTGTGTAGCCATCAGTAATATGTTGACTATATAACTCGACGAACGATATTTGCCAGTGTTTAGACTTGTTAATCAATGAATAAAATACCGTTTTTAAAAAAGAAAAAAGTTGAAGGTATGTCAAATGAAATCATTATTAAATTAACAATTTCTATGTTCGTTAATTTTTTTTTTCTAGAGAAAAGTAGAAAAATTAGAGCTAATGATCCTAATGGCAATGCTGAGCAAGAATTTGCTGTAAATTTTGTTGTTATCAGTAAGATTAAAAAATTAAACTCAATATTTTTTTTGTAGGGTAACCAAATATCGACGTCAAAATATAACTTAATAACATTTTTACCTAAAAATCTTTTTGAACAATTTCGTCGATTAGCTAATGCTTATTTTTTATTTCTTCTATGTTTACAAGTAAAATGAACAAAAAAAAAAAAAAAGAAACGTATTTTCATTATTTTAAATCAATTTATTATTTGACATTCTTTTAGCTTATTCCACAAATTAGTTCTTTAGCACCTGTTACAACTATTTTACCACTTGTTTTCGTCTTGTCATTAACAGCAATAAAAGATGCTAGTGATGATATTGTTAGTATATATGAGAATTTCTTAGTTTTTCTTTTAATGAATGAAATATTTATTTAAGGCAAGGCATCGTAGTGATAATCAAGTAAATAATCGTGAAACTAAAACAGTAGTTGGACATGAATTAGTAACTAGGAAATGGAAAGATATTAAAGTTGGTGATATGGTACGGTTAGAAAATAATGAATTTGTAACTGTAAGATAATTATAAATATTTTAAAAAAATATTAAAAAAGAAACTGTGTTGTATTTAGGCTGATATTGTGCTTGTATCTACAAGTGAACCAAATGGTCTTTGTTATATAGAAACAGCTGAATTAGACGGTGAAACAAATCTTAAAGCACGTCAAGCTTTAGAAGAAACATGTGGTCTTGAAGATCATATTGATCAATTATCTGCTTTTGATGGTAGAAATATTAATATTAATATTTACTTGATGGAGTTTGTTTTATTTCATTTTTTTCTTTTCTTTAGCGGAAATTGAATATGAAGCACCTAATAATAATCTTGGACGATTTGAAGGAAATTTAACATGGAAAGGAAAAACATTGCCATTGAAAAATGATAATGTTCTTTTACGTGGTACTAGGTTAAGAAATACACAATGGGCTTTTGGAAGTAGGTTAATTGAAGAAAAAATTTTTCAAACAATATTTTATTGTGTTTTTTCTTTCTAAATTTCAGTCGTTTGCTATGCTGGTTCAGATACAAAGTTAATGAAAAATAGTGGAAAAGCAAAATTTAAACGAACTAAAATTGATCATTTACTTAATCGAATCATTCTTGGTGTAAGAATATAAACATTTTTGTAGTTTTTCAAACTAAACTATATTTTTGTTTTTCATTTAGATCTTTCTCTTCTTATTAATAATGTGTGCAATAATGACAATCTGTAGTGGTTTTTGGGAATCATTTGTTGGTTATGATTTTCGTGACTATTTACCATGGGAAACATATGTATCGAAAGATCAAAAGATTGGTGCACTTGAAATAAGTTTATTAGTATTTTTATCATATATTATTATATTAAATACTGTTGTGCCAATCTCACTTTATGTCAGTGTAGAATTTATACGTTTATTACAATCTAAATGGATTGATTGGGATATTAAAATGTATTATGAACCAAATAATGTTCCAGCTCAAGCTCGTACAACAACATTAAATGAAGAATTAGGACAAATTGAATATATATTTTCAGACAAAACAGGAACACTAACACAGGTAATTTAAGAATAATGAATAGAAACTTTATTTAAATGATTTTCAACGCACACTTTCACATCTACTAGATCTCGAAGAAACTAGTGGAACTTTAGAAATGGTAACTATTGTGCCAAATCTTTAGTCTATCTAGGATAGCTTTTAGAAGAATTTTGATTTGCTTATGATTTGTAACATGAAGAAATTGCTAAGATAGTATATTGAACAGACACGAAACATGTCTGTGGAAATATATACAGCTATTTTTTCTCAGAAGCCCAAGCTTTTATTAAGTTTTCTCAGTTTCACGCAACTCTCTTCATAGGCAGAATATGCAGTCGAACAGCGTTCGACAGTGACGTACGTTCGCTCACTAAAAGAAAGGATTCACATGTTTTACATCGCAAATAAAAACTATGGTTTTCTTATGACTTAAAGTAAAGTATCCTGTTTTTATATCGCAAGTAAATATTTGACTAATTCGAAAATCGATTTATATTAGTCAGAAGTGAGTTTTTTTTACTGAGCAACCCACTTTAAATAAGTTCATACAATAAGAAATAGACGAAAAAAAGCTTCTGGCAATTTTTGTGTTTTTTAAGAAGACTATAATGTATTGATAAAAAATAAAATAAAGAATTTTTTTTTCTTGTAAACTTTGAGTTAATTTAGAATTTTGCTATAGGAAAACTTTATGAACAGTAAAGATATATTTCGAAGTCAATCAATAAAAAGTTCATTTTGATATCTATCCGTAAAATTTCATAAATACTAAATCTTATAATTATTCATCAACTTGAAACGTTTCAATTACATTATATCAATTCTAATCTCGATATTAAATTAATTATAAACATCAATTTTAGAAATTAGGAAGTTGTTTTTTTTCTTCTAAAATAGTATTATTTAAAAGAAAATATTTTAGTTTTATTAAATAATTTCTATTCTTATTAAAAGTACTACGTGTAAGACGTTCAAAAAACTTCCAAGACTGATTTCATTTAAAAAAAGATCATTGAGTAATAAATATAAATGTATGTCTTCTATTTCGAAATATCATCCCTCTGCCGTAATAATGGTCAAACACATTAATATTGCCAAATGACACCAACTGAAATGAATTTCCCCGTTGCTTTCTAATTTCTGATTGAAGTTCTTTTACCAAAAGATGTGCGTAATATGCTTTATTCATTGCCACATCAAATAATACTAATGGTTTCAGAATTACTCCTTTATGATTCTAGAAAAATGAATATAGCGCTTTGCCCACAGACTTCTCTCGATTTTTTGTTGGTGAATCAGTTTGTTTTCATTGCCGTCATGAATTTAGTAAAATCGAGAGTCGCAAATTCTCTACATGCTTGAACACGTTTGTATCATTGAACAAGTGTTAGTAAATGTGGCATCTATGTTTCACAGAGTTAAGTTATGCATACAAAATGTCTAAAGTATCCGATATATCGAAACGTTTTTTAACGATCCTGGTAATACTTTTGAAAAAAAGAAATATTTTTGATCAGTTTGTCTTCTTTTAGTTAATGAAATCTATTTTTTTCCTTATGTTTAGAACATCATGACATTTAATAAATGTTCAATACGAGGACAACTTTATGGTTATGTAACTGATGAAGCTGGTAATGAAATACAAGATACTGAAGTAAGATTGAAGTTTCTTTTTCTGAAATAAATCTATTTTATTAAATTATGAAATTATATTATAGAAATTAAAACCAATTGAATTTGAAGAAAAAGATGAAGATTTTGAATGGTACGATCAAAAATTACTTGATGCTATTAAAAAAAATGATAAAGATGTAAATAATTTTTTTGCATTATTATCTATTTGTCATACGGTTATGCCCGAAGAAAAAGATGGAAAAATTATTTATCAAGCACAATCACCTGATGAAAATGCACTTGTTTCTGCATCACGTACATTTGGTTATGTATTTGTTGTACGTTTTATAAATCTTTTTACAAAAAAGAAAAAAGGAAAACAAAAATTCTGATTATCGATTACTTTCTCTTTGTTTAGGGTCGTACACAAAGTAGTATTACAGTTCGTTTTCAAGATAAAGAAGAAACATATGATTTATTGAATATACTTGATTTTGATAATGATCGTAAACGAATGTCGGTATGTATTGAAGAAATAGTTTTCTTTTGTTTATTTTAATAATTTTTTTTTTTTTTATTCGGTAGGTTATTATTAAAAAAGATGGCAAAATAATTTTATATTGTAAAGGTGCTGATAGTAAAATAAAAGAACGTTTAGATCCATCTGAAAAAGATATAATGGCTGAAACGGATGAAAATTTGAATGTAAGTGAAATTTTCAATTTTTAATCTTCTGATTAGTTTTGTGTCTTGTTTCTAGAAATTTGCTACGGATGGTTTTCGTACACTTTGTTTAGCATATAGAGAATTGAATGATAGTGATTATAGAACATGGGCTGAAAAATTTAATAAAGCAAAGTATGTTATTACTTCAAATAAATCTCAAAGAGGACAATAGTGAGCTTCAAGGTATAAGAATTTCAGTTGTTGGACAATATGTCTTGGGTATGAAGGTGTCAGTGTTAGTGAAAATCTTTTATGCATCATCTCACCGACTTATCCATCATGATACTTTATAACTGACATGTCAGGCTACGAACTAGCCTAAGACCAGAAGTTTACAAAGTTCCAGCAACTTCCAGGATTTTTCTATAAATCATTGTTATACATCTTATTATCAAACGAAGAGAACTAGGCCGAAGATATCCAAGTAGTTCACGAAACGGCATTTTGTCGTTTAAATCAGAATCAGAGATGAGACCGGTTCAATTCGAAATTTTTAAAAAGTAGCTCAATTCGGTCCCAGTAGAAAAACGCGCAAATCAATTCCAACTAAATCTGATACTTTTATACATTTGTTAATTTGTCTATAAGTTTTGACTTGATTCGATTCGGTTCGAAAAAAATACGAGCTGATTCTATCTTTGACTGGCATGTATTATCGAAAGTTATTGTTTATGATATCTAAATGTCATGCTGAAGCAGAAGATAGCAAGAAATCGACCCTCATAAATGGTATCGAAACTTTTGATATGTTTAAGTATGCAAAACGGTAATTTTGGATAATGCATACTAAGTCAAACAACAAAATGCCGTTCGCTAAATCATTTAGGTAGGGATCTAATTGAGAATAAAGAGTGACGCTTCAGATGTATGAATGTCTTTTGATACTGTTAATATTTATTACATACTATCAATGAAAAAAATCTCGATAGCCTCTCGATATTCATTTCGTGACTCACGGTAATTAACGAACATAGGTTAGTTTTCATTAGTATTAATACATCAAAAAATACAGAATATATTTTTAAACTCTTCATTCTCCAGCAAAGAACTTTTCTTTTAGTACGAGTATGGAGAAACGAGAAGAAAAAGTCAAAGAAGCATATGAAGAAATAGAAAATCATCTCAAATTAGTTGGTGCTACAGCTATTGAAGATAAATTACAAGATGGTGTACCGCAATGTATCGAACGTTTAGCACGTGCTGGTATTAAAATATGGGTTTTAACAGGTGATAAAATTGGTAAGTTGAATTTCAATTTAATTCGATTAAGTTATTTTTACTTAACACTTTATTTTAGAAACTGCTTATAATATTGGTTTATCATGTCGTTTATTAACAAGTGATATAGAAACTTTTTTTATTGAAGAAGATAGTGAAGATGCTGTCGATAAAAAATTACAAGAAGTTCGAAATAAAATGATTAGTAAAGTTGAACAATTATTTGATGTTCATATTGAAAATAAAACGAAAAGACTTGATTGGAAAGATTGGGGTATTGATGTTATGAAATTTGATCAATATAGAAGAAATGATAATCAAAATAATGGTAATGCAAAACGTACAAATGATCATGCAACAACAACAATGAATACAAATCCTCAAGATCGTGAACAATTTGAAGGTTTTGGTTTATTAATAACAGGTCAAGCATTAGGATATGCATTAAAAGATAAATTAAAAATGAAATTTCTTGAACTTGGTACAATGTGTAAAGCTGTTGTTTGTTGTCGTGTAACACCATTACAAAAAGCTCAAGTTGTTGAATTAGTTATGCAAAATGAAAAAAAAATTACATTAGCTATTGGTGATGGGGCTAATGATGTATCAATGATACAAAGTACGACATTTTATATTCATGAAAAATAAAAATATTCATATGTATTTCTTTCCTTTTTTCGTTTGTAGAAGCACATATTGGTGTTGGTATTAGTGGACAAGAAGGTCGACAAGCTGTCTTAGCTAGTGATTATAGTTTTGGACAATTTCGTTTTCTTGAAAGATTACTATTGGTTCATGGTCGTTGGTCATATTTACGAATTTCAAAATTTTTACGTTATTTTTTCTATAAAAATTTTGCATTTACATTATGCCATTTTTGGTTTGGATTTTTTTCGGGGTTTTCAGCACAAGTAAGTTATCATGAGACAAAAAAAAAATAGAATTATTTTTATTTCCATATGATTAGACATTATATGATCCATTCTTTGTGGCAACATACAATGTTTTCTTTTCTTCATTACCAGTTTTGGCATTGGGTGTTTTCGATCAGGTATATCAAATATAAATTTCTTCTGTTTTCTATATACGTATGAACAAAAAAAAAAAAACATATTTTCAAATTTTTTAGGATGTTAGTGCTGATCATTCATTGAGCAAACCTCATTTGTAAGTGTTCATTTTTTGTTCATAAGTTAAGTCTTCATCAAATTTTATTTAAGATATACACCTGGTCAAAATAACGAGTTTTTTAATAAAAAAATCTTTGCTGAAAGTGTAATACATGGTATATTAACATCATGTATTATATTTTTTGTTCCATATTTATCTGTATCGAATACTACACGACCAGGTGGAATGACACAAGCTGATTTACAATCATTTGGTTTTATAGTTGCAACAATAATGGCTATTATTGTTAATTTAGAAAATGCACTTGAAACATGGTATTGGACTGGTTTATATCATTTTGTTTTATGGGGTACTATAGTTGTACATTTTCTATTTCATTTTGCATTATATTCAACAATAATTTGGAAAATTTTTAATTCAAATTATGCATATGTTGGTGTTGCACAAGCTGTTTTATCAACAGGCAATTTTTGGTTTACATTATTTCTGACATGTGCTATATTATTATTACCGGTATTTTGTCGAGAGTATGTCATTTTTTTTTATTTGAAATTTTATAATGTGTTCTATAATTAATTAATTAATTAATTTAAAGGTTTTTTCGTATGCGATTTATGCCAAATAAAACTGATCGTGCACGATTAAATCAGAAATTTCGTACTGAAGAAAAAGCAGCATTTGTTGCACATATACAACATAAACTTCGTCAAAGTAAACGTTCAATTCGATCAGGTTATGCTTTTTCACAACAACCTGGTTGGGGTCCATTAATTACATCTGGACGAATGCAATCGAAATCTATTACATATACTCGACAACCATCACATACTACCAACGTAAGTAGAATTAAAATTTGATTGTTTTTTTTAAATTTGTTTTTTTCTTTCTTTCGGTGGTTTTTCTCTTTCCTTTTATTTCTATCTATGTGTAAAGAAAATCTTAAAACTCTTCTGTCTTTTTTCTTTTTGTATCTTTGTCATCATTGATTATTAGACTTCTTTCTTGTCTAGTTAAGAAACAGAGTACACCCAATTTTCAACGATACATCAAATATTCCACCTACCAGTACGACCAGCAAAACAACAAACAGGAGAAAATAATATTTGAAGTAAGAGAGAAAGAATATCATATGAGTGAATTAAAATATACTATAGTCTATCAGAGTGGGTTAAAACGTACACTTGAATGGATCTTAATGTTGTATTCTTGCTACTTCTTACTAAAGTGTGCGTGTGTACACTCAAACAAAACAAAACAAGAATAAACATTTGATTTGATAATTGCACCTTTGCTTTCCCTCCTCCTCAATTTCTTATCTTACTTAACTGTCTTTCGAGTTCTTTGTTTAATAATGCTTCACATATGTCGAATTGTATTTCTTCTATTTGTTGTATCATTGTCTTTTTTTCCTATCATTCGTATTAAGTTCTGTCGATTTGAAAATAATATCATCAATGGATTGTGTTTGGAATATTCGACTTCGTTTAGGTGTTTTGATCAATAATAATTGACGATGGTTCATCTCATAGTTTTCATTCAGAAGATTATCATCTTTCTGTAATGACAAACAGAAAAAAAAGATTTTGTCACAATAATTAATCAATGAATGGATTATTCGAAGAAGATGATCAATTATTATTATCATCATCATCATCATATAAACCAATCAGTGAAATTTTTTTGCGCATGTGTTAGAGTACTGCTTTTCTAGGCAACGCAAATGTATGGAATCTCCATCATCTATTTTACCTTTGTTGTTATTTGCTATTTTTGACTATTTTCACGCCGGTGTGTTTTTGTATGTACCCAACTCTCCTTTACATGTTATTGCTTTTCCTAAAACAAAAAAAAAGAATTTTTTTAAAAATTCAATATTAAATATATTTCTGTGCTTTTGTCGACTTATCTAGAATGTGATTCAAACTCGATTTTAATATCGAGTTAAGCATTAAAAAACACTGCAACTACGAGAATGATTTATTGTAAGGCTTATATATTTATTTGCACTAACTTTTGCACGCTATATGTAGCCAATATTTATAACATATTTATTATTTAGTCACACTAACCTATTTATTTATTTTTTATTTTTTTATTTAATTATTGTTTTTCGTATTTAGACAACAATACCAAAATTTCCTAAAACTCGAAAAACTCATGTGGTTAATGAATTGTCACCAAAGAATCCTGTAAAACCTGATAATAAAGCCCAATCAGGTGCGCAACTTATTCGTCTTGCTCATATACGGTCTTCATAATTTTATTCACCGTCCATACACACCTATTTATCTGTTATTCTTTCGTTGTTAATTCATATTGTAGATATAAATCTTTGAAAAAAAAAAAATTCCTCGCTAGATTTGCTACATGTAAATCTTTGCATTGATTTTCTCGAACAAAAATATTCTTCTTCTCTTTCCGATGTATGATAATGGTGACGGATAAATGCTGCTTGATTCTGTTTTAATTTATGCTTTTTGTTTTGGCTTTTTTTGCTTATAAAATTATATTAAATGTATCTTTCATTATTTTAATAATTAAGATAATAAAATAAATAAAATAAATAAATAAACATATATATATATATAAAAGAAGACAACAAGAATGAAAATTTTTTCTCGTTATCTTTTAGATATTTTAGAGAAAAATGACGAAGAAAAGTCAACAAGAAGTTTCTAATAATTTGATTTCAGGAGGAATTTTACAAGAGTAAGAAACTTTTAGTTTTAAGTAGATGATTATTTTTTTTTTACTTCTGTATTACCGGATATTATAGAATTAAATCATATCGACCATTACGTTTATTTATTAATAAACAAAAAAAGAAAGGAAGTGATGTATGTGTAATGAAAAATAAAAATTTTCCATACAAAAATTTTGCTTTTTTTAAAAATCTTTTTAATAGATTAATCCATTTGCTTTACGATCGAAATTTCTTCAATTACCAACAGAAAAACAAACAAAATATTTTCAAAAATCTATTGATAAATATATTCAATTACTTGTGAGCATAATTTTTTTAAAATTTTTAATAGAAACAGCGAATAATATTAACATAATTTATAGGATGAAAAGAATATTAATGAGCATGTGCAAATCGAAGGCAAATTATTTGAAAATCTGTTGTCAAAATCAGAACAAAAAAAATATTTTGATGCAATTAATGCACCAACAAAACCAGTGAGGTAAGTAAAACAATATCTTATATGTCATAAAATCAGTACAAGTGACTTTAAAATAAATAAATCAATCGTGTAGAGTCTTTTCTCAGATATTCTATCGAACATTAGTTTAATACATGTGATACTCTGAAAATACATTTTTCTTCCATAACTCGAATTGATCTGAGATAAAAACTTCGTAGCTTAATCTTAACTAGCGATGTGCAAGGTTGAGCAAGCGTTAGAAAATATTGAATTTGATGGGTTCTACTGACTGTCCGATGTGGTTTTCTAATACCGAATAATGTCTATACAAGAACTTTAGCTTCATGAATTCAGCAGTTTATATATTATTAATAAAGTATTGAATAGAATATATCAGCAAGAAATATCTTTCGAATATTTGTACATATCTATCAAGATAGAATACATTGAAGAAAAGACTTTTCATTCTGATAATATAATAAAAATAAGTTTGAAATACGTATCTTATTGATTCTTATAAATAAGATCTGTTGCACATAAAACAATGTAATTCAATAAAAAATCAAAAGTTACAAATTTTTTTGAAAATCTTATTTATTTCTAAATTGATAAAAAAAAAACTTTGCCTTATTAAAGAATACAAATAATTAGCATATTATATAAGAAATCATTTTTATTTTAGTACAGCAGCAGCTTATTATGCTGAAGTTAAAAAACAAGAACATGATAATAATGCACGAGCATGGAAATCATTAAGTACAGACGAAAAAAAACCATACATACAAGCGTTGAATGACGTAAGTCATTTTGTACTCAATATATTACTAAAAAAAATTAATCAATTTTTAGACTAAAAATGAATATTCTGCTCAAACAAAAAATTTTGCTGAAAATTTACCTGAACGACTTAAATTAGAATATTTATCATTTATTAATCAAACACATCATAGTTCACATGCCAATGATAATACTAATGAAAGCATAAATCCAGTACCAATACATCAACGTCGTAAATCTGTTCAATCGTTACCGGAAAATTTGAATTTTAGTACAAATGATAATCAACAAAAATTAACTCGAATTCAAGTTGAGGAATTACATAAATGTAAACCAAATGTTCTTTATTATGAAAAAAAATTTTCGGATAATGAAAAACCAACATTTGTAAATTCAATGGCAAAAAATACTTATATGCGATCTTTATTTAATCAATTAAGTGAAAAGAAAAGACATAAGTTAATATTAAAAGCAACTACAAAGTGGCAAGAATATCTTGAATTATATCCAACAATAACTGAACAACAAATTCCAACAATTCATTTATTATTAGGAAAAAATGATGATATACATTATTATTTTTCGTCACTTGGTTTACCAGCACGACCACCAACAACTGCACTTCAATTATATAATAATGAAAGACAACAAACAGATTCACAACAACATTGGGCTGATTTATCTCAAACAACAAAAGATGAATATATAAAACGTTTATCAAAACTTAAACATGAATATCATCAACAATTTATTGATTTTGTTGAAAAAACTTTACCATCAGATTATATAAGATTGGAATTTTTTCGTAATATTAAATATGCAGCTAAAGATTATGACATAGCTATAAAAGATCGAATTAATGAAAAAGATGATAAACAATTAAAAATTACTCAATATTTAGTACAAAAACAAAAACCAGATACTAATATTATCAATGAATTTGAACGAATAAAACAAGAACTATTATCAACTAATTTAACAAAGGAACAGAAAAAACTTGTTGAACGACTTGGACTAATTATGAATAAATATATAGATGAAACAGTGAGTGATGATTTATTCAGGAAAATAAGTTTTTTTCAAGATTAAAAACTTATTTTTTTTCATATACTTGAATAGCATTACTATTACAATGGACTTTTCTGATTTAACTTTATCTAACAAGGAAATTCATCGAACTGATGAATCGCTTTTAAATCGAGACTATGTACATTATCTAGCTTCAAATGAGCTATGCATCCTCTGAGAAGTGTTTATATCCGTAGCTTATTATTACGGAAATAGTGAACTTTTACGGTATTAAATGAATGCCGTTCTAACAGAAAAACCAATGTTTGAATTTCGACTTGAAACTTGGCATGCAGACAGATCTTAACAAAAATAGTTTTATTGTGAATGTGACAGATCTTGTTGCTGTTTCTATCTTAAGATATAGCAATGGTAATAGTGTGTCTTTTACATCGCTCATTCAACAGCAATCGGCTGAGAACACAAATTCTTTTCAGAGTATTCATAACTCATTTGACTCTTCATAATGTACACATCCTCAATGCAACGAAATTAATCATTGAGAGGACTTTCCTCGTGAAGTCAAGCCAATTTTTAAGAAATTTAACCATAGAATAATTTAAGTGTCGCAACCACGGGTATTAAATCCTTCGGTACTCTTAAATTCCTGATTACACCACTGGATAAATCAATGATAAAATATAATATTCCACTAAATAATGTAATGATCTTCTGTAACAAATGAATAGTATACGCAAAATTTGCACGTTTTTGTTTTTGTAGGTTTCAGGACTGAAAAAAGATTAACGGGTTATGGAAAAGTCATTTAATAAATATATTCGTTCATTTTCTCAATCTCTTAAAAGAATCTGCTGAAATTTCAAAATATTGGGCTAACAGTAGAAATTTGTCTTCTTTTCAAATAGTAATTAAAAACTTTAATGAAACAGAAACATATTAAACATATATTTGAAAACAATATAAAATTTTGTTTTACAGTTCAGTGACAGCTGAAAAGTTGATGAATATTTTGTCAAATTTCTTTTAATGTTGGATCTTCTTCTATATTTATTTTAGACAACATCAAAGAAAAATCCTTCCAAATCGAAAAGTTCAACAGGTAAGATTTTTCTTCAAAAATAAACTTGGTATATTTCTTAAATAAATTTTTTCAAGAGGTTAAAAAACTCGATAATGATGGCAATACTAATTCAAGTTCATCTAAACGTCAATCAACTAAATCTGATGATGTTATTATAATCAATGGTGAAATTTCAAGTGACAATGCTGAACTTATAGAACAAGTTGTTCATAAAAAAAAGAAAAAACATAAACGAAATAGAAGTGAAATGGAAGAAACGAATACAATTAACGATAATAATGATAAAGAAAAACAAAATTTATCATCTCCACCAACAAAAAAGCGAAAATAATGTCAGATACAGAAGAATAAGCATTGCTTGAAATTTCTTCTTGTTATTGTTTTTTTGTTATTTTGCTTTTCTCAAAAATCTTTTTTATTCCATATTGGAAGGAGATTAGTGTTTTTTTTTTAATAAACCGATTCTTTTTTTTGTGGAGACTGCTTTGGCACCTCCCTTTGTTAAATGAATTTTCTAAAATAAAACATCAAAATACAATAAGTCATCTAGAAAAAAAAACACCTTCATATGATTCTATTTATCTATCGAATATTATTCGAAATGATTGAATTCTTGCCGAGTCAAGATGTACCCAAATTCCGTGAGTTCTGAATTTATGGAACTCTCAGCACTCAAGAACTTGTTGAAATGTATGTAACAAATCAATTCTAGAGTTCTAGGACAATGCATCACAGGTGTATGAGTTTTGATGTGAGTGTAGATCCTTTGTGTACCCCTATCAACATCCTAACTCGCGCAGCTGCATCTACACCCACCGGATATGAAAAACTTGGTAATTTTGGGAGTTAGTCTATGCATATGATCAAGGATTACGAAATGGTGAATAAATACATTATCAATATTGTCTTCATCTCTAGATAACGTCGCTTTTCAAAAGAGATACTTGAAAAAAACCAATGCTCATTTTGTTCCATTATTTATCTAATTTTCATATAATCTTTATAGAAAGAATTGCATTGAATGACTACTATCCTTCATTTGTTCTTGATTCATTTTTTTATTAGTAAAAACTTAATATCTGTCTATGAGAGACATCTTTTGATCAACAGATTTATCGGTTAACCAAAAAATCCATGAATTGATGACAACAACGTATTTTCGCGGATTGATTCTATATAAAATGAAAACTATCACTTTTTTCTTGTTATCAAGGACTCATCTTTATTTGATTTTTATTTAAAGTATAGAATGGCATTTTGGCGTGGTACTTCGCTTTTCTCATCATCAACACCAACGACAACAGTTGTAAATGATAATACAGTTAATCAAGAAACCGTAAGATATGATTAAAGCTGCTATGATTTCCATCGATAATCCTAAGGCTTTGTCGCACTCTGCTTGCAGGGCTAAATCATGACACATAAACATCAAATATCGTCCTTCTACTTTGACGAATTCTTCATATATTTACAGATCGAACGTCTCTGTGATCGTCTACAAACGGCTACACGTATTGAAGATCGACGGGATGCTGTACGTGGTCTTAAAGGATATTCTAAAGTAAGTCGAAATTTTAAATATATATATATTTTTTTTTGTAATTTTATTTAAAAATAAATAGAAATGTAAACTTGAGGTCGGCACAAAAAGTATGATTTTATTAGCAAATATTTTACAAGGTGATCGAACTGATTTGGATCTTATACAATTAGCATTAGAAACATTATCTAATATAATGACCTATGAAATAGATAATACTGATGGTATAATAAGAATTAATATCTTTTTTTTGAAATTTTTTTTTTTTGAATATGTTTTCTAGAACAACCGAATTTACCCCAAGATATAACTATTCAATTTACAGGTAGAATGCTTTTGATGATGTAAGAAAAAATAAATAAATATTCATTTTAGAATTATTCATTAAAAATAAACAACATGTTCATGCAGCTCTCGATCTTATTGAAGTAAGATTTCATTTATAGACAATATTAAATAATTTCTTTCTGTTTTTTTGTTTTAGGAAACTGATTTTAATATTCGTCGTACATCTATAAAATTTGTTACAATACTTCTTACTAATTGTACTAAAATATTACAAGATATTATACTTGAAAGTGGACCTATGGGTGTTTCGAAATTAGTTGATCTTTTACAAGATGAACGTGAAGTTATTCGAAATGATGTAAGTTGTTTTTTTATATTTCTAATACAAAATTATTTGAGTTTAATTTCCAATAGAGTCTTCTTCTACTTCAAATTTTAACTCGTTCGAATGCCAATATTCAAAAGATAGTTGCATTTGAAAATGGTTTTGAACGTTTATTTGAAATTCTTATAAGTGAAGGCGGTAGTGATGGAGGTAATATGAATAAATTTTTTTTTTCGTTTTCATTTTTTTGATTATTTATTCTAATTGTTTTAGGTGTTATTGTCGAAGATTGTTTATCTGTTTTATTGAATTTATTAAAAAATAATCCATCAAATCAAAGTTATTTTCGTGAAAGTTCTTTTATTCGACGTTTAGTTGATTGTTTTGAATTAAATTCAATTGGTGACAAAAATTGGCCAAAACAAAAAGAAACAAATATTAATCTTTTTTTACAAGTAAAAAAGAATGAGAATATTAGTTTAAAAGAAAAACAACATTATTTTCTTTTTGTCGTTTGTTAAGGTAATTCGAACACTTGTCTCACCGACAAATTCAAATCAAAATATTAGTGCATGTCAACGTTCAATTAGTCAATGTGGTAAAAAAAAAGCAGAATCGTGACACACGACAGGTGAACCTGGATCGAATAATTCAATATGAAATAATGCATGTAGACATGCAACATCTTCTAGTTTTTATGAGTCACTGGTACATACTTTCATCAATAAGAGATTTATCTTTACAGAGACGAACAAGTCTTGAAACTAATTACATTACATTTGATCATTTACTATTTCATTTCAAATATATTGTGTTCCACTATTTTTTTTTAATAGCTTTTCGTAGGAACATCTCTTCTCTCTTGAATGGTGAAAACCACAAGTCTCTATGGTTGGGGCACATTATATTTTATAACTGATAGTAATTTGCATGTCTGTTTGAGATCTAGGTATGAATGAACAATTGACTCGTAATTATGAGCTTCTTGATTGAAAGTTACAATAACTAAGATTTATAATTTGAACAAATAAGAATTCTGTTCAATTTGAAATATGAATGTGGATTTATTCAAATAAAACTATTGTCTTGTATTTCTTTAATTTATTCCTTACACCAGGTTCATCTGTCGATGTGCGAAATAGAATAATTGAAACAAAATATTGTATGATTTTTAATATTTTCTAAAAGGTCTTTTACATCGTTTATGTGTTATGCTTACAATGACAACTATTCCACCTGATGTTTTAGCTGAAGTAAATTTATTTTGTTGTATAGTTCTATAAAAAAAAAATTTTTTTTTTTTTGAAATATGAATAGACGATTAATACAATTGGTGATATTGTCCGTGGTCATAATGAAAATCAACAATTTTTGGGTTCTGTGATGAATAATACGGGTGAAACTCCACAGTTAGTTTAACATTTTTGATATATATGTTGATTTCAAATAAAAAATCTATTTTAGACCGGTATTATTAAGTCTTCTCTATACAATGGTTGCTGGAGAAAAACAATTATTTCTACTTCGAATATCTATTCTCTATTGTTTTCAATGTTATTTATATAAAAATGATTATGGAAAATCAATGATTGTACAAACACTTTTACCTCAAACAGCGAATGGTTTATTCTTTTTTTAAACTATAATTTTTCAATAACATTTTTTTTGTTTGTTTGTTTTAGCTACTAATCAATATACATTAGGTCATTTATTAATCATTGGTTATCTAAGTAAAGATATTGTTGCTTCATGGTGTTCAAGTATTGCTCTAACACATTTAATTATTGATAATCAACAACTTAAAGAAGCTATACTTAAAGTTGTTCTTACAATTGATCAATCTCAATCTAATGCTAAAACACTAATGGAAATATCTATTGATCTATTAGAAAATGTATATTTGTAAATTTTCCCTTGAAATATGTTTTTTTTTTTTATTTATTTTTATCAATAGCCATCATCTTCGTTTCATACACGTATTTCCACACTTATTTTTCTATGTACATGGTTGGCAAATTGTCAATTAGCTGTACAAACATTTCTTTCTATTCAAAATAGTATTTCTTATGTATGTTATATTTTTATATAAATTTATTTATAAACTGACTGTATATTTTTTCTGTTACTTTAGTTGATTTCGCAAATTTGTGCCCAATCAGTGACTGATGACCGTGACGGTCTTGTCCAATCCTTATGTTCGTTTGCCTTTGGATTATGTTTATTATATAACAATAATCAAATATCAACTTATTCAACGTAAGTTTGAAGGCATGAATAAATTAGAAAATAAAAACCAACCGTTAAACTTTTTTTTGAAAGACAATGTACATCAAATTTAAACATTTGTTGAAATTTCATCATGATATTCTCACAAATTACAAGCATTTATAGTATTGCCGAATAGTGTACACTAGTCATCATATAAAAATCATACGAAATAGTATTGAATGAGTGAAAGCGTATACCCTACAATGCAAGGTAGATGTCTAAGTAATGCCTTGCCTCATTTTGGGTCCTTTCGTAATACTTGCAACTTTTTATTGTTTTTCCTCTGCCTAGAAATATTATAAAGCAATACATATGAGAAAAAAAATCCTTTAGTTAATATGAAGTACCGCTATTCTCCATGCCACTTCCATCTTATATTATAAGCGCGATGCTCGTCTCTGATGTGTATTCATTATTAGTGAAAAGCAAGACGTCGGTATCAGATTAATCATAAACTGTATGTTCATATTCATACATGTTGTATAACTCGAAAAATAACTCTTCTAATTGAAAGAGATAGAAAATGAAAGGCGTAGATTGAAAAGACGCATTCATCATGATTAAAATTTTTTGTTTTTTTTTTTTTTTTTTCTAGTGAATCACTTGAACGAATAATAAAGAAACGTATTGGTGTTGATCTATTTCAAGAAAAACTTGAATTACTTTCTAAATCTGATTATTATGCTAAAGCTTTACGAAAACCTCAACTAAAACTCTCAAAATCAGATGATATGATTTTGGATTATGAATTTTCTCGTTTATATAAAATTCTTGAAGGATCTATCACACGATTATTAACAACACGTACAAATGATGAACAACCAAAATCATCTGATCAATCATCAACAATGCTAGTACAATATACAGATTTAATTCAACAACAAAATCAGCAGATAAATCTCTATCAACAACAAGAAAAACAATTTCTTGAAGAACGTGATTTATATCAAAAGAAAATTGCTGAATTAGAACAATCATTACAAGACATTCGTGATCAACATACTTCATTGAAACTTTCATCTGAACAAAGTAAATGAAAATGAACAACAATATTTAAAATTTATGTTTTGTTATTTTTCTGCTAGAACCAAATTCTGATGATGGATTAAGAACTTTATGTGAACAACAACAAATGGAATTAGAATACTTGAGAAATATGATGGTATAAAATTGAGTTTTTTCATTCACCGGATATTTTCCTCAAGGCAGACATGACAGAAGTGTAGAATAAAATTAAAATATTTTTTCTTTGACTTAGGCTCTCTAGTGAATCTATGAGTCTATGATTTATATAAAAAAGAATAATCTTTCGTAGGCGTATCAACAACAGCAACAACAATATTACTATTTAACACAACCGTATGTTTATTGATAAATAATAATTTTGATTCTTAATTTTTAATTTTTTTTTATAGAATTGAAAATGGTTTTGAGCAAATTAATTTACATAATAATGATAATCAAACCGTGAAGGTTGTACATTTTCTATAGGCTAATTTAATAATAAAACAATGTTTAGAACGACGAACGAAATTATATAAATGAACAAGCAGCGTTAAATGCTCAAATTAATGAATTGCAAGAAAAACTAAATGCATTTGATGAACGGTAAAAATTTAGATTACAAAAAAACATATTGCTTTTTTTTTATGATATCTGTTGTATCATTGATTTAGATGTAAAGCACAAAATGATGAAATAGCTCGTCTTCAATTAGAAAATAATATTTTACAAGAAAAAATTACAAACGAAAAAAGAAAAGTTTCAATACTTGAAGTATAGTATCTTCAATTCAATTCTATTTTCATCGAATAATTATTTTCTTTTTTCTAACAGAGTCTTCAAGGTCAAATGCAAGAGATAATCGATGAAAAAGCTAGTTTAAATAATGAATATCAAAAATTAAATCTTGCATATCAACAAAATCTAAAAGAACAAAATGATTTACTTGTTCTCTGTTCAACTTATGAAGACCAGTTGAAAAAATGTCGAAATCTAATTCAATCAGCTGGATTAACAGTAAATTGATAATAAAAAAAGATTTTTTTTTTCTCAGATAATTACTTTTATGTTTTATTTAGGTACCAAATTTTTTACTTGAAATAGATAATACAGAATGATATATGAGTCAATTATTTGATCATTCTTTTCAAAACGTGATATTCACATTTTATTTATTTATTTATATGTTTTGATTGCTATTATGTTTTTTTTTTGTTTATGTCTAAAGAATTACATCATTGTGATAGGGTCATGGGAAACGAAATTTTTCTTCATATTCTCTTAACTATCATTTTTAATATGAAATACTAGTGAATATACTTGAAATATTTGCAGAGAATTCTGAATAGACCAAAAAGTTTAACAAGACTTTTAAGCATGTTGCTAGAGCACTAGATCAACAGTCAACATATAAAATTTAATCATAAATTACTATTGAAGATGATGCGTTTATATTTAGTATATATCTAACGAGTGATAGTTTTTGTTATTTAAATCTTAGACATGTCAATGCCGATATTGAACAACGAAACTGCAATTTAATTGAATCGAGGCTTTTTATCATATAAAAAAAAAAACTCCTAATGAACAACCAAGAACTATTCATGAAAGTTGATGCCTATATATGATGAACAAACAATCCAAAAAAAAAACTTTTATGATTATTCTTTTAAGTGGGTAACCGATCATCATAGTACTAGTTGAAACAAACGATTTTAGAAATTTTTTTTCTATAAAAAACAACACAAGCGTTTCGAAGTAGGTGTTTTTCTTGCCTATTCGAGCAAAACACCTGAGAAATAAGTTTTGATTCGATTCTGTAAGTGGTTAAATACTGTAATCATTGGGACTCGATAAAACAGATAACAGTGAATCAACATATAGAGTAACAAAGCAGCTCGGTCTATTGTAATAGTAGCAAATGATTTGATTCAGCTTTACTTACAATCGATAGTTGTGCAATCAGAATCTGATCAACTTGATTCTGTAAACTCTTCCTATCTAACAAATCTCGTATAAAAGAAGACTTTGAACCGATTCCAAGTTTTGTCAGTTGTCAACCATATTTTAAGTCATATGTATTTATATTGAGTTCTTCTAAGGTATCAACTTGGAGAAACATAGTTTTCATTAGTGACCATTGAGAAAGTGAAAAAATCTTGCAAATTCATGACCCCTCAGAACTTGAATTGAGACTTTTTAGAGAAATGAACAAAAAAAATTGCATCTGTTTGGGTATTTTATGTAGCATCAAAGTCGAAAATAATCGCTACTACCATTGAAGTGTGTGTTTGCTCAGTTGAATATACAGATTGTGTCATGGGAAGGGACAACTTGAATAAAACATTGTGTATTGACAAGAAAATATTTAATATAGCTTAAACATTAATGAAAATTTACTATAAAGACATTTTATGCTTTCGACGTCTTGTCGTTTTGAATTAAGGAGGACTAAATACTTATATGATCCAATTACAATTCAATAGAGGTTTAGTTTTTTTTTTGCAGATTTTGTTTAATTATCATTGAATGGCTACGTAATATCTTAAAAGCTAACTAAATAACCTACATTAGAATGACTTTTTATTATATTCTTTTCCCAAATCTTCGCATCTCGCAATAATCTCGATCGATTTGTTATAAAAATTTACGAACACATTTTTGAGTGTGCGGGTATGGCTGCAATTGTATCTGTGTCCATGACTGTGCATGTCGGCTGTCCGGTGATACGTGAGTCTCGATATATGTCCTTTTCTTATCCACTCCCACGCTTCCACTACACTCACACCTGATCCAAATGAACGAGAATTAATTACAAAAAACTTCCTGAACAAATGTGAAGTCGTGACGAATGATAGATATATGCGTTTAAATGGACGTACAATTTGAGAAGAATTAGCCGGTTATCTTTGCTTCAAGAAAACCAATGCAATTGTACTTCATTCTAGCAGTTTCACGACCAACCTATGCCGAAATTAGCATTGCTAGCACAGAAATATCTTGCTATTCCTACAACTAGTGTACCGTGTGAATCAGCTTTTTCTGTTTCCCATCATGTTTTGCGTCAAAACAGATTAACAATAACATCCAAGAATATCAGCTATATCATGTTTTTAAAAGATAAATTGTAGGCAGCTCATGTTTTTAATTTTGTTTCATATTTGCAAAATAAAAGAAGGTGTTAAAAATGACATTGTTTGATTCTCACTTTATTTGCTGACATGAAAATAATTCTTCTTAGACGTTAAAATTTATTTACAAATCGACTAATTTTTATTGATAACTCTGTGTTGCAATATTGTTATTAAACACTAAACAGTAGTATAGATCATGTTCACAGTTGTTTAAACTAGAATTTAGAGTGTGAATGTGGATGGTGAGCGTGTGAGTGAGAAACTGTGAGGATCTATGGTGGTATGCGTGGAGATAGGTGTGAGGGTGGCTCTTCTCTTGATCCGTACCCACACATCCCGAGGGAGAACAACTGAGACCTCAGCCTTGAGGTCCGATAAAATCTCTGACGTCTGATTGAAGTCTCATGAAGCCCTATGAAGTTCAATGAAGCCTTTAAAAATTTGAAATCTGTATGCTTGAAGCCTTTGAAGTCTGCTGTTTTCCACTCGACACACTCCACACCCACACGCACACCCTTTTTTTATCGGATATTTCATAGATAGGTTTATAAATAAAACCATAAAACAACAATAGAATAAAAACTCATAAACTAGTTTCATCTCGCTGTCAACTCCACTTTTCTTTTTAAATCAAGACTGCAAAAGTATGCACAATGATTGTTTAAAAACTCGTAGCAAAGATGACATGATAACAATAGTTTCAAGTCCGAGAAATATTTTCACAAACGATACGATTACCTAGGATATGTCAAGATATGGAATATATAACTACTAATCACAAAATTTAGAAGTTCGAAGGTTGCATATAATGAAAAAAAAACTGTAAATTATCATTAGTAGGTATATATATTGACACTTTATTTTTATGAACACAATGTAAAATAGAATATCAATCAAATATCACAACAATCTTGGATACTTTATTCTCATTGTGAACTATTGCTATTAGCAGCATTTACTGGAACTTTTTCTAAAATTTATTCTAATTTTTCAATAAGTCCATTTTCATTTTGAGATAAATCCTATAAAATTTCTCAATACATACATACCTGCAGTATGTGTGCGCTGAAATACTAACCCAACTCAATCTATGGTCAGCTGAAATATTATACTCAATAAATTCTCAATAAATAAATAAATCCCATAGAAACAATAAGTCCCACTAATATTTAACTATTAGAAACGCTGATTGATGTGAATATACGTTTAGTCCATTAAACCACGCTATATATCTTGTGTATCGACTAGAGAATGGCAACAATTATCATCATTTGTCAGTAAAATGTTCTGAAATAATTTTAAAATGTTTTCTTCTAATATATTATTCAGTTAAAGTTTAAAAAAAAAACTATTTCATAGTTTTATGATGATAATTTCATACAATCATTATTTGCGAAAGCAGATTTACTTTCTTAACAAAAAAAAAAGAAAAAACTTTCTAAGACATATGAAGATTGAAAATTAATTCTTTTCTTTTTTGTTTTTATTCACACTTATAGCAGCTTTAAAATCTTGTTAGGTATAGAAAACATGAAATTAACACTAATGAAAAAATCAACATTGCTCTACATGTTATTCTTATTGCGTTCGTAAGTTATAGTAAAGAATATTAAGGAATAAAAAAATATTCCGTTTAAGAATAAATATCGATCGTAGTAGTTTCTATTTAATATAGCATACAGCTTAACACGACGAACCGATAATAGTTAGAATACTATTTTCAACGCAGCGACAAAATATCGGACATGTAAGTATATCATAAAGAGAGAAAAAAAGAAATTATAGTGGCGTTCAAAAGTCAACCGGTTCTATCTGATCATGAAAAGTTAATTCAAATAGAATGTGTTTGTGTAGTGTGGTATGATTGAAGGAAATCAGCTGTTATCGTTAATTTTAATCTTGACGAAACATCGTTTTTTATTTATGAACAAACTAGCATGTAGTCAACGGTGACAATATTCACCGTCGAGCTGTTTAACATGGCCATTGTTGACGCCGTCAGATATGATATAGAATGAATATATAAATGATTTTATTGATAATTTTCTTTTTTATTTCTCATCGGATATGAATCATTCAACTGTTAATCCTTTTTTGTCTATGCGACGAGTTGTTGCTGACCATTATCAACAAACTCAGTAATATTGATGTATTATATTCTTTCATAGGAGTCTATCAACGTTTGGATAAATTAGCTCGAGATATTATCTTTACGCAATGTATTGATGTAACAGCAATATCATCAAATAAAGATAAGAACTCGAAAACTATTTCAATACTTGATCGATTCTATTTGAATAACATACCACGAATTCGATACAATATTGAATGTTTTACTCTTGATGCTGTTTCAGTGGAGTGTGTTCTTTGCATTGGCAATTATCCAAAACTTCACAAACTTAATCTTGTGAACCTTAAAATTGAAACAGTATTTCGTATTTTCAATGGTATATCTGCTTGCTCAATCTTCCAAGAAAGAAACTAAATCGATTAATTTTTTTTTTGTTGTTGTATATATTTAGATGAATCATCATTTCTTCACATGTTCGAAGATCAGATGACACATCTTGCCATAGTAATTAATGATGACATTACAGCTGAGCACATAAGAAGTTTAGCGACAAACATCATTGTCACTTATTGATTTATCATCTACAACGTGTTATTCATCTAATATTGTTCAATTGAATATTAGGGTGCGCAATTTTGACGATTGTCTTTGTTTACTTGATGGACGTCTTAGTCAATTACATATATTTATTGTCAAAGTTGATAAAATAGAGAATTCGCCAATAACTCTGGACAATAAGGTAAAATACTTCGAACTGTAATAAACAAAATCAAGTATTTCAATTTATATAAGAGTGATAGAGCAATGGAAAAAGAGATTTTTTAATCAGAAGATAGAATGTTTTCTTTAAATCGTATATAATGTATTTTTTATGACACGTTGACAAATGAAATGAAGCAATCGGCAAAAGAAGTACTCTTTAAACGAGTCTATACTCTTCATATAATACAAAATAACGATACAAAATGTAAATTCTTATATCTCTTCAGTAAATATGTGTTGGAATGATAATTTTTTTGGATGATAGGATATGTTCGTCTCTTACAAACTGCATTGATTCATCAAATAAATCTCGTAAACTGACATATAATTATTTTATAAAGCAAAGCATTGCAAGAACAACAATTTAAAACATATTAAACAAATGTTTGAAATATGGACAAACCAAATTTTTATCAAGGAGTAATCATCCAATAAAATTTTTACGAGATACATTCGAAAAATCAATATAAAAAGTGCAAATTCTTTAAGCAAGTTTTTCTTTTCACGTGTCATTTGTTTTTATGAATCAATAACAAAATCAAATCAAATCATATAATTACAGTTCGAAAGAGAAGAAAATTTCTTATCAGATGATAAAAAATTATGGTGTCAATACGTGTTTAGTAAATATTTTGTATCGTTAAATTGCATTATATGAAAAGTACAGATTCTTTTCAAGGATGATTTTCTTTCTTCTTGCGTCATTTGGTTTGTGAACGTGTGATAAAAATGAGTTATATACGATTCGAAAGAGGAAATAATTCTCTATCTTCTGATTAAAAAAATCTTTTCTTCTAGCATCGTTCTATCGACGAGATAGGGAGGGGAGTGGAAGAGAAGGGCAACATTTATCCGTTTGCTTTTGCATTATACGTTATATATTCGTATTTATTTCAAAATGGAAGGCCATCGATTGCTTTTTTGAATAGCTTTTCATAGGAACAAGATAAATATCTGCGGCTTTCAAAATATCATAGCCAAGATCCAGCAATAAATTTTCATGACCAAAATCTTTTCTGAGATATAAGTCAAAGACTAGTTTAACAAAGAATCTTTAGAAAAGCACACTGAATCTCTACAAGCTGCCATAGAAATTTATTAATATTTTTATATGGATAGATAGTCTAGAGAAACCAGACAGTTTTTTGTAAGTCCTAGGACTCATCTTTCTTTAGGTGTGACACGATTACAAAACGCATGAAAACATGTGTTATCATCTAAATTGAACGTCATGGCAATGTCGGGTTTCATTTGGCATAACTTTCCAGCTCGCTAGAGAAGAGCTTTGAACAGCGGATGTTTCACTGCTTTTTTTTAGTCACGAATGAGATCGATGCAGCAACCACATTTCTTATTCTGTTTCGTTGAAACTTTCAGGGAAACCATGAAATAACATGTCAATAATAGAAAGTCATGAGTCATTGCAGTCCGATGTTGGTAGCCCAACGTGGTTTTTCCAAAATCTTGTCAAAAACTGAATATCTTCGCGAAGAGTTTTGAAACGATCAGTCAACTTTTCACTAAGATCGTGTTCTTTAACAATATCCTTGAAAGTGCGATTACTATCTATATTAATTGATTTTTTCTTGTAGCTAATTCTATCTAATCTAAAATGTTTCTCATTGTTTGGTTCTGGTCGAACAAACGCATATGATACTCGTATCGTACCACTTCTTCGTCACATGTCACATTTAAAGGAACTTACATTATCTCTTGTTGTTAAAGATCGAACTTCATTCATAGATGGTACACAATTACATAACGATATATTTTTTGTAAAATGGCACATCTACATACATTTATTTTTGATATCGCCAATAGAAACGTCGTTTTTTCTCCAAGCAGTACTACCATCTTCTTATGATGTTCGGCGTACATTTATTGAAAGAGGATACCATATTGATTGTTATATTGATTATTATTCACAAGGGATAAATCTATGTCATACTTATTCGCTTCCGTTTACTATGAAACGCATGTACAATATTACTAACAGTTTTCCCGGTGGTCTATTCATGAGCGTTCGTATACTAAGTCTTAATGATCTATTTGTTCCATTCGAACATGATCTCTTTATTAAAATATCTCGAGCTTTTCCATTAATTAATGAATTGATATTATTAAATATATGTGAACAGCAAAAGAAATTAACAGATCAACTCAATGAACATGAACAAACATGTTCAATTATTGAGTATTCACATCGTGTAAAACTCAGCCTTAATATGGTACACATTGACTATGTTAAACAATTTCTATTTAATACAAAGACGTGTTTACCTCATCTTAATACTTTATATGCTAAGTATGACGATTTGATGACTATAACAGAAAATTTTACAAATGATGCTGCTCGTGACAACTGCGCAAAATTGAAAAGCATTATTTTTGATTCAATACCAATAGTAATATTTTCAAAAAACTTCTATCTTTATTTTCCATTATTATAAATATATTTTTCTTCTATTTCTGTTTATGTTATTTTGTTAAAAAATGAATAAAAATAAATATAGAGAATTATTAATTGAAGTCTGACTGAAGACAATATTTTCACCGCTATGTTCAAGTGGTATTCAACGTGGAAAATGTGTATTGTTGCGGTGGAAAAATAAAAGAGGTGAACCTATAGCCTTGTTTTGAAGATGACGAAGTACAGGAATGAATGCAAAAGCTCTAATAATATTTTTATTCTCGATCGTTGTCAGTACTCAATGGAAAATATAATTCATCATATATTATATGAATGAACACCGTCTACATTAGCTGTTCCGATATATCATCGTGTATTGCGAAAAATGGAAACATCACTATCATAGATCAAGACCTTTAATAAGAGCAAAGTCCTTAATTTAATTTTGATATCAAGATAAAGATGAATAGAATGAAAAATAATTTTGTTCAATTTATATAATGATGAAAATAATAACTACCATCAATATTAAATAATCTGAATAATAGAGAAATAGCACCTATAGAAAGAAAAAAATGATCAAAATTTCTACGTCGAATAGGTTATTATTATTTGATTCTGTTTCTCTTGTTTGTTTTTCTGATTATTCTTAAATGAATACAATGATATTATCTAATTCACAAAAGAATGATGATAATTACCATATTTAATGATATTTTGCGATTATATATTTGCTCAAGCTCAACAACGAATCATTTTTTTCTTTTTCTTTTGTCTTTAATAAGATGGTTTACATTTGTTTAGACTTTTTCAATAAAATTTATCTAAGATATGATATTATCGTGAACAAGAATCAAATTCTATTAAACTATTTGTTCAGAGTCATCTGTCTGTACAAGGTGAACGAATAAAATTTAATTTCAAACAAAAAGTTTTAATGCTCATAATACGGATTTGCATATGCTGTTGGATAAAAGAAAGCAAAATACTCATCTCAACATATATAACTCACACTCCCATACATCTACGACCCCAATAGATATACATCATAAAGACTCTAAACATCTTCTAATAACTAATATCTCTCATAGGATGTTGTCATTTGAATTCTGTATACTTTAAAATTTTTTCGTTTTCAATGTTCAAAAACTTTTTGAAATTGTTTTCTTTTCCTCAGGTTAAGCTCTGTCACATCGTCAGTTTATATTATATTAACAACATATATTTATTTAATAATCCACAAAATTATGAATAATTTAACAATTAATAAATGAAGCCGAAAACTTTGTTTATTTGATTCATTTGTGCTAATCATAAATTTGTGATTCGATAATACAGCATTCAACTACATCATGAAACATGTTTGATCTTAAAAAATAACAAAAATTATTCAAAATATAAACAATTTTTTTTTCTTAACTTACTAATCGAAGTTTTTTTCTTTGTATTTTCATAATTACAGACATTCAGGAAAAGCAAAAACATGATAAACGACTCCTCTCTATTGTTGTTGATTGGTGTTTCAATAAAAAAACAAGGGATCAATTACAGCAGAAACATGTTTCATCTAAAAAAAATCAAATTATTTAAAATATACAAATTATCGTTTGCTATAAATTCAACTTACTAATTGAAGTTTTCTTTTGTTTTTGTTAATGAATAATTTGTAGGAAAAGAAATATTTGAAAGCGAAGAAAAAAAGAAAAATTATTGCAAACAAATATTTATGACTCGATAAAAAAACATTGACATAGATGATAAAGCAGATTGTTGAGCTTAAAACATCGAATTATTCGAACTACCCACGAAAAAGAATTTTCAAAAAAACCACGGTAGGCAACGGTATTCAAAAGCGCGGTTTTGGTCGGTACTTTCAGATGCCGAGAGTCAGACTATCTATGCGTTTCTCCGAAACCGCTCAAAATCGCGGTTTTTGAGACCGCGATTTTGAGCGGTTTCGGAGAAACGCATAAATGATCTGACTACCATGATATTAAAAAATCACTTCAAACCGTGGTTTTGAATACCGTTGCACACCGCGATTTTTCTGACACACTAGAGTGAACCGACTCTGGTATACCGAACATAACATGTGACTTGAACGTTTCAGGTGTGATGCCCTTCAAGGGGCAGTGAAGGCGCCCCTCTTGAGCACCATTTCCACAAAGTACCTTTGTAGAGTCAGATGAATTATCTGTTTAATGATCGAACAATTTGACAGAAAAAGTGGGGCATGACACCTTGATTGACCTTACACATTACTTAACACTTCGATATGCGCCGTGGTTTTTCACAGCGACACCGTGGTTTCTGAAACAGCTACTAACCGCGATATAGAACTCTGCGATCTCGCCGCAGAAAATTGCGGTCCTTCTAGTTACACCGTGAGGCGTTGATAGAACTGAAGCGAACTTTATTTTTAAAATTTTGTGGGCTACTTTTAAAGTAAAACGAGTCTTCTACCATCTGAATTCTCTTGAAACAGTCTGCATTAACAATCATTCGTTTTTATTAATTTATCGAAAACTAGTACTGTTTTTTTCTGATTCGACTATAATCATTTCTCAACAAAAATAGATTAAAAAATCAATAAATGCTGCAGCATTTTTTATGAGTAGATTTGTGAAATTCCTACGACAACAATTTGCATATGTATTGGAAATCCGTCTATTGTGCTAGATCAAGTATCTTCTGGTATGTCACTTTAATATGAAAATGATAATGAACAGATGTATTTCAAATTAATAGAGATTTTTTAAACAAAATGAAAAGTCACCGTGGTTATAATACAGAACACCGTGGTTTATAAAACCGGTAATAACCGCTAGAATGAAAACCGCAGTTAGCCGTGTATATGTTGTATCGAAGTTACACCGGTCGACGAAGTTATAACTTCGTCGCCTCATATTGACGAAGTTACAACTTCGATAGACAAATTTGTCGAAGTTATTTTTGATTCATTTATCAATAAATAATTTACTTCATTGAATATCCTACTGCTGAGTATATAATCAAAAATAATTTTTTGTAAAATAGATATTCATTTATTTATGAGCACTCGCCACGGCTAGACCAAGATGGTTTCTGATGGCGCACACGTGCGAATAGAATAGTTATTGATTCTTTTTTTATTCAAACTTGATTTATTTGTAAGGGAGAGAGAACAAAAACAAAAAATTAATCATCGTAATGAGTTTATTCAATATTAAATTTTTGTATTCGACGATTTCTACAATCGACGACATAGAGATTACCGTGTGAATCGAATGACAAACTGACGGGCTCATTGAGCTGATTCGATTGTTCTCCTCTACCGTTTCCACCAACAATAACACTTCCCTGCGTGGCTCCTTTGAACCAACGCATGATTCGATGATTCCAACAATCAGCGATATAAACAGTGCCCAATTGATCGACAATGATTCCATAAGGATTTGACAATTGTGTAAGACTATTTCCTTGTCCTTGATTGCCAGCCACGATTATACCTTGTTTTGCACCCTCTTCCCATTTCATCACACGATGATTGGAACAATCAGACACATATACGGAATGATTTCGATCGACGAATACGTATTGTGGACAAGAGAGTTGATCGAGACGATTTCCATATCCATTACCACCTGCAATCACTGTTCCTTGAGATTCTCCTCTTCGATATCGTCTCACTTCATGTTTTCTTTCATCAGCGACATAGAGAGATCCATTCTCGTCCATTGTCAAACCCACACAACCGATGTTGGAGACGATTGTTTCTCCCCTAGTACCATTTTGACGAGGCCATCGAACCACTCTTCTATTTGAACCATCGCAGATGATGACACTATCTCTTTCTTTGTCGACAATCACATCTATTGGGTCAGACAACTGATGATCCGCATTTCCTTGTCCATTTCCACCGGCAACCACTTGGCCACTCGTCGCACCCGATTTCCATTCCACAATACGGTGATTTGACCAATCAGCAACATATATAGTTTGATCATCATCCACATACAGACCCAATGGATAGGAAAGTTGATGAATTCCATTGCCTTTTCCATTTCCTCCAGCCACAGTGAGACCATTCTGTTGCCATCGAGCATTTGGATGAATATTGATTGAATTGCCACGTAATGGACAGACTGAAGTAGAAAGAAAGGAGAGGATCAAATGATAAAATAAGAGAGAAGAGAAAAGATACTATACGAAAAACAGTGAAAAGTTCATTTGAATTTTTGCAAAATCAACATCGTCTCAAGTTTTGGCTCATTTTCGATTTCCTCCTCTGACAGTGGATGTTTTTGTTTTTTCTTGAGAGAGCGTCGCTGTCAAAAATTATTTCTTTTGTTTTCTTTTTGGTTTTCTCTACTACTTAATTTGTCATAAAATAACAATTGATAGATGTTTTTCTTTGTCTGATGCAACATACATATTATTGATTTACTAATGCATGCCTGGAAGAAAAAACGTTTTTCTCCCGGCCATCTTTAAACTTACATTTGAATAAGTGAACTTCAGAAAAACTTTAGAAAAGGTTGTAGTAGAGTTGAAATTTCTTCAGAGACTGTATGAATTTAGTGAAATGTGGATCATCCTAATTAATAAATCATTAATACAAAGAAATTAAGTTTTTTTTTTCTTTGGGAAGAGAAATAGATCACAGTAGTCATTCTATTACAAATGATGAACTTTTTTAGTTTTATGAAAGATGTAATTATGCGTATGCATATGTGTATAGAAAATATTGTAATCTCACGTCCTTTTATCGAATAATAGAAAGAGCGAGAGGGAGAGAGGATCATGAATAATGAAATAAACCAACTAAAAATAATTAAAAAAGAAAAATCTTCATTCTATTCCTCGCTTTTTAATAGAAATTATTCTTTATGGCAATATAATTAGATATTAGTAACTTGATTAGAGAACTTTCCATTATTTATTATACTACTTTCTTTTAAAGCTCAAACGAACTCGCAATTTTCACGGTAGATTGAGAAAAAGAATGAAACTTCATATTTCTATGTGCATTTAAAAAAAAAAGAAAAATATCAAAAGTTGAAACTATTTCATTCGTATTCTTATCAATTTTTTCTATGCGCACTATAATATATTCATATTTATGTACAGTCGTCGTTCGATGAGAAAATGATCACATCTAAATTTGTGTCCTTCAGTGAGTGAACAAAAACAGAAACCTAATTCATCACTGAATGACGGTATATAATTGCAAAATCATATTTTGTTCTTCACTTTTACTTGATGTGCAATCTAATAATCAGCTTCTAATAGCTTCATGTACTTTAAAAAGTCACTTTCAAGAACCGTTTTTCCAATTATGCGAGAACTCAATGAATCGGGCTGTGTTCCATACTCAACATAATGTGAGAGTTTCAACTAGATCCGAATATATCTAATGCTTTTTACTAACCAGTCATTGGACGAGTACAAGTACAGCAAGTACCAGTAAAACTGAAGATACTTAAAAAATGTACTTTGTACTTTACTTAAATACTTTTTACTTGAGTAAATTTCAGTCAGTAGCGGTACTGTACTGAATTGTACTCAAGTACAGTATTTAAGTACATTAGAGTACTTAAAGCCATAATGTAGCGTAGCTGTACATTTAACACATTGATATCGATGTTAGGATGTGTGATACACACCTAACGTCTATAACTTAGCGACATATTAAGGAAAATGTATATGAATAATCATTATCACGATATTTCTATCTCCATTGTCATAAAACAGCCTCGGCATAAATGATCAACAGTGATAACCAAGGAAAATTCAAAAGACATGAATTTATAGTGTGTAGGTTTAAATATTATGAATATTATGTAGACATTTCTGAGAATGCAAAGTAGTAATATATTAGAATATGTTGATATCCGGCTAAAGTACATTTTGTACTTAAATACTGGTACTTCAGTAAATGAGTACAAAGTTTTGTACTTCAGTAAAATCTTTCAGTACAAGTAAATTTACTGATACTGTTAGAATGTACTCAAGTAATCCTGAATACTCAGTAAAAGTATCAAAAATACTCAGTAAAATACTGAGTATCCAATCACTGTTACTAACAATATTAAACTGTGCATTGTTAGAGAAAATTTGAACTTTTCAAAACAATTGAAAGACGCATTATCGAACTGTATCATATTTGGACGAAGCTTTAAAACATTTTTGTATTAGTTGTATGAATCGAACGCAAAAGACGAATAATAAACTTTAAGAAGGATGTGCTACGCGTGAATATGAATGAGAGAGATAGCAGTTGTTCAGTTTCGCTTGACTTTACACTGCAATTAAAAGTTTTCATGTGTACAAGAGCATATGTATCTAAGAACAAGAAAAGTCAAGACGACGTACTCGAAACAGTGACTTTGCACTTATTGGATTTGAGTGATTCACCAATATTGGAGATCTTGGCTGCATATTCTCCTTGATCTTCTGATTGTACATTCAAGATGGTCAGTGTGTATGTATCATCATCACCAGTCGGTGTTGTCACTTGAATGCGATCATTGAACGTGAGTTCACTGTTGTCTCTCATCCAGACAACAATAGGTTTTGGTGCTCCACTTACGACAATTTTGAGTGTCATAATTTCACCTTTTGTGACTTCTATTGTAGCATTAAGATCAGTGTTGATGACAGGTTTCATGCAAACAATATTCAATGTTGTTTTAGCTTCGACTTCACCACCAGTATTGGTTGCTCGAGCAATATAATCACCTTGATCGGCAAGTTCAGCTTGACGAATCAATAGTGTCGATGTTCCATCGTCAACCTCAGTCACTTGAAAACGATTGTTAGCTGAAATCGGTTCGCCTTTGAAGAACCATGCCACTTGTGGTTTCTCGATGCCACTGAACTTCCATGAGATCTTAGTATCTTGACCAAAGACACACGATCGATGGTTCACTGATTTAGGAGCTTCAACTTTGGGTTGTGCTAAAAAAAAGTACGTAGCTATTCATATTGTGCATATGAGATTATGAGACTGCTAACTTCGAATATTAAGTTTGGCTGTTTGTTTAGTCTGATCGATACCATTTTGAATTCGCGCATGATATGTGCCGGCATCAGAATGATCGCATTGATTAACGGTGAGTGTGAAGGTATTTTGTTTGGATTTGATCTTGTGTTTGACAGAATTTCTCAGTACGATACCATTGAAGAGCCTGATCGAAAGAAACAAGTAGTGAAGTACTGAAGTTAAAATTTATTCAAACCACTAACCATGTTACTGTTGGTGATGAGAATTCATCACAAGTGAATGATAATGTGCCGCTTTGGCCAAGAAGGACATTGACATCAGTTAATGGTTGAGAAATGTTCAATGGTACTATAATTAGATGAATAACAAGATAGTATGACCTACAATTTGCAAAAGTTTCAAAGCTGAAGGCTGTTCTCGATTACTAATGTTCTAGTATCCTTTCCAAAACAATAGTTTTTATTTTTACAGAAGACACTGATTAAATTTAAGACGAGAAAGACTGAGAGGTTAAAACTCATTTAATTTTAAATCGGCTTCCATGAATACGACTCGATGTAAATTTTAGTGAATATAAGTTGAAATACGCCTATTTTGAAAAACAGTGGTCATATGAAACTTTACTTATAGGATTCTTTTATCGGTCACATTAAAGAGTTCGAATCAGTTTTTGAAAAGTCAACATTGATAGAGATCGGGAAAAAGTTGAAATAGTTATAAATCGAGCAATAAAGGGTGTTTCATAATAACTGACGATAAATTGTTAATGATATTT